ATTTTAGGCAAAAGTTTTCTTTCGCTTGAACATTTATATTTGACACAAGAATCATCAAAAACTCAACCTTTTTTGGAACATTCTACGCTCTTTTAAAAGAGCGTAGAATGTTCATGCGTACAATTAATAAACAAAATGCTATCAGTAGAAATTTCTACTGATAGAATTTTGTGTATTAATTGTTTTAAAGATCATTTCTTTGCTTATTTATTATTTGTGAGAGATGTAATATTTTATTGCTTATTTATTAATAAATAAGACTGATACAACAACTTCAACAATAACAACATGAAATTATATAATTATATCCACAAAATTTTCAATTTATGAACTTCTTTAAAAGTATAGTACCGTAGATGGCGGTAACTAAAGCCTACGGGGAAACTAAAGCCATTATAGCAGGTAATTTTTGGATGGTGATAGTTGCAGCACTGTTTGGATTCAACAGCTGATGTTGTGTTCTTCTAATAGGAACTTGGACTGCTTTCCAAATACTTGTCTAGATTATTAAAACAATATCACGGTAAGTGTACAGTAAAACTATATATTTAGCCTAAAAAATCGATAAAAAAGTTTCCTTGCATAACTTCTGCTATGAACAAATCATTTTTAATCTTAAATTCTCATAACTCTCAACAAACATAACCTCAATTTATGTTTCATCACACCTTTAAAGGTTATAACCTATAACCTTTCAAAGGTTATAACCTAACCTAGCACTCTCTAACTAAAGCCAAACATTGCTTTTTAATGGATGGCTTTTGTTACCCCTTTTCCAGGGGTAACTAAAGCCACCATATTTTCATTTTTTTTATTAAAAAAATGTATATTTCTGCAATTTATGAATATATTTCTTTAATATATGACCACAGACCCAAGTTTTGCAATATTTATTTAACCTATAAATTAAAGGGTCTGACTTGGGCAGAAGTTTGAATTTCGAAAGTGGCTTTAGTTACCCCCATCTACGGTATATAAAAGTCTATGTGTTTACTGTTGCTACAGTGTAGTTGAGATAAACAATGTCGCTAATGTAGATTTTTATCAAAATTTCAAAAAAAACTTGCCTTACATCTAAATAAAAAGGCTAAAATTTTTAATAAGATAAGATTAAGAAAAATTAATATTTGAATTATGGTCTAGCACTTTAAAGGGAAAAACAGCCAGAAGATCTTTTAATCTCAACTTTCTTATAAACTTTATGGTAGGTTAAAATGTTTTTCCTTTTCTTATTTATTTGATATTTTGATTCTGCGTAAGCTTTTTTTTTAGGTGATAGTCTTTGATAGCAAGCTGATAGTCTTTGATAGCAAGCTGATAGTCTTTGTTAGCAAGCTGTTGTTTTCCTTTGAAGATAACTTATATAAATTGGATGTTTTGTCTGTTTGTGTTAATGTTTTACGTGACATATTTATGGATATTTTTTCTTTAAAAATTTTTATTTTAAAACTTGTTTTCTACATTGAAAGATCTTATTGATTTAACTAAATTTATTAGATCTTTTTCAAATGAATGCATTTCATTTATTTGTGGTGATTTTGAAGACTTTTTTTCTTATTTATTTGATTTTGAAGACTTTTTTTGATAATAATATTTAATAATGATAATAATAATCTTTAGTTTTTTGAAGTTGTCGTTTATACTTTTAAAACTGTCGTTTATACTTTTAAAACTGTTTAACAAGAACTTATCAGAGTCTTGTTTACCAGCCTACTGAAAAGTGGAATCCGTTATCCTTATTTTCAAAAATTCTTGAGAGCGATCTGAATTGTCTAACTATCATCTTATTACTCTTCTTATTATAATAAGTAAACTTTTTTAATCTTTAATTAACAGACATTTAATCTCTCATCTTGAATCTAATAACTTACTTTTTGATCATCAACATATATTTCGATCTTATCATTCTATTGCTGATTTTAGATATATAAATCTTGAATATTTTAACTTTTATCAAATATAAAGTTGAACACTATTTAAGAACTATAAAATGGTTAATATAGCATATTAATTATCTATAATTAAGTAACTCCAGTTCATTTAATGGAATTATTTTGAATGATGGGAAGTGACGTCAATTAGATACGAGGTAAAATATAACAGATAATACTCGATAGGTTTTATTGTGCAATGGATAGTTGATAGAGATTAAGGCTATTGCTCTCGACATTTCTAAAGCTTTGGCATGTTGGTTTTTTACAAAAACTCTCTTCTTATGGTGTACCAGATAACAAGGCTTAAGATAATTGAAGCTTCCTTACCAATCGTAACAAACGTGCTTTTGAAAATTATTAACATAAATTATATATTAATATAAATTATTAATATAAACTATCTTCTAATAAAGAAGTTAAGTTGCTACAAAGTTAGAGGTAAAGTTCTTGAATGGATTATATATTAATTGTCTGAGAGAACTCAAGTGATGACTAAAAATCTGATATCTTGAAGTGTGACCCTCAGGGGTCTGTTTTAGGCCCCTTACTCTTTATTACATACATGAAAGATATAATTAATGTATCAAATATGTAAAAATCAACTTATTTGCTGATGATGCATTAACCTTTTGACTGCGGCAAGCCACGATCGTAGCTTTTCCGTTGAAGTGCGGCGAGCCTCGATCGTGGCTTTTAAAACTAACTTTTAAAATTACAATCTAGCAAAAATTATCGCTTTTCTAAATATTATTCATTGAGGGCTTACATTTTTTGTTTATAAATTTTGTTGATGCTATAAAATGAAAAATGGAACACAAATCTCAAAAATATTTTTTTTTCTTCCATTTTTGTTTTTTTTAATTGAATTTTTCTAAACATCTTTTAGTTTTATCAAGCAGTCAAAGGGTTAATCTATATCAAAAGTTCTAACTTCGATGATGCAATCTTGAAACTAAATTAAGATTTCAAAGCTTGTACATTATAATTAAGTAACAATAAATTTAAACTGAACACAAGGAAATCAATGGTAATGTTAGTAACAAGTTTGGTGATTAAAAAATATATATTACTGAATAAGTCATATGAATCAGTTAGCTTGGATAAAGAGAAATTTATGTTCTCTGAATGTGTCAAGTATTTGGACATTCAAGTTAATGAAAATTTAAAATTTACTGAACATATCGTATCATACTGCTAAGAATATATCTAAAAAGTTGGATTACCTTTCAAGAAACGTTTTTTACGGCAAATTTTTTTTTTCGCGAAAAAAAACGCCGATTTTCCGGTAAAGTTTGCGGAATGAGTGGGTACCGCCGCCCCAATTTTTTTCCTAGAATAGACCCTGACAATAGTGGCTCCTCATAATAAATATTATACCTCAATCTTTTTAAATGCAAATAAAGGTGATATTTAAATACTTTAGAAGTTGCTGAATAAAGCTATGATACTTATTCTAAATAAGATTGGTGTTCTTATAGTAAAGAAATGTTGGGGAAGATTGGATGGTTATCAGTCACGCAGAAAATCATAATTAAGGTTTTGAATTTTGTTCATGAAGTAGTAACTACTCAAAACAATAAAATATATGTGAATATGTTCAGAAAGAACAGCAACTTACATAAATACAATAGCATAAACGCAAACATTTTATAAATGGATGTGCAAAACAATATAAGTAGGCAGAAATAAATTTTCTGTAATGGACTCAAGCTATATATAGTTATATAGTTATATATAGTTCATTACCTAAAGAAACAAAAAATATAAAAAATTAAAGTTTCAAATCAAGTGTAATAAAATTTATCAAAAATATGTGGATAGATTAAGCGTAGACTTATCAAGGATATAGTGTCATGATTAGTCAATGAATAGGTGTAATTTTCAAATAATAATAAGTAAACATCATCAAAACAAAAGCCAACACTCTCTGATTGCTTGGAGGGCGCGTTTGAGCTTGAAAAGGATCTCACTTCTGCTACCGTATGAAGTTCTTGGTGGTTAATGAATTTTTACTCAGATAAAACTAAATTTTTTTCAGTTGATCATTATCATAATAATCTAGATCTTTCTATATTTATGAACAGTAATGTACTCGATGAGCCATCTACCCTTCGTCTTCTAGGATTAACTCATACATTTGATCTTTATTGTAAACCATATTTCAAATCCAATGTAATATTAGCATCTGCTTAGGTCGCATCTCTTTATTGTGTTCGCCACAGTCTTATTCAGGATTCAATGCTTTATTTCTAAAAATCTTAAATTCGTCCTTGTATGGAATACTGTTGCCATATCTGGAGTGGATCATAGAACAATGGCCTTTCTCTTTTAGACAATGTGTAAAAATGTATTGTAAAAATAGTTGGGCCTGCTCTTGCAGCCAACTTTTCAACTTTTTTTTTATATTTTTCTTGAAGTGTGCAATAAGTATCGTAAGGCATTTTAAAAAATGTCTGCAGTATTCAAGTTTTCTAATTTTTCAATTTTTGCTTTTTAAAGAAGTTCAAGTTTTTTGATTGCTGCATTTTCAAATAATTTACCGATTTTAATATTTTCTAAATGACCTTGGTCTATATATATATATATATATATATATATATATATATATATATATATATATATATATATATATATATATATATATATATATATATATATATATATATATATATATATATATATATATATATATATATATATATATATGCTCATATATTTACATTTATATATAAATATATTATAAGTATATTATATATTATATATACACACGCATTCGATATTTCATTATTCACACCTTCTTTCATTAAGTTATTGATTCATAGTAAAAAATTAATATAGTCAAGTAATTTTCATTTATTATTAGTATAATAAGAAATAAAGCCATTGTTCCTGTACACATTTTAGATATGGCCCAAAATATCCTAAATTTATAGTTTTGAGATATACATAATGATAATATGATGTAGTTTATAGAAAACATGATGGAGTTTAGAAATGAACTTGATTTGCTTCTCTTTTTACTGTTGTTTCTAAGTAAAACAAAAAACTTTAAAATTTCCATTTTAGGTTCTGGAGAATTGAGTTTTGATGAATTCGTCGCTGGCGTCTCGTTAATTGAGGTTAGAAGAAAACTTTTAATAAAATAATTTTAGAAAATATAATAAATCTTATGGTTTATATATATACACACACACACACATATATATATATATATATATATATATATATATATATATATATATATATATATATATATATATATATATATATATATATATACACATATATATATATATATATATATATATATATATATATATATATATATATATATATATATATATATATATATATATATATATGTATATATATGTATATATATATATGTATATGTATATATATATATATATATATATATATATATATATATATATATATATATATATATATATATATATATAGTATATATATATATATATATATATATATATATATATATATATATATATATATATATATATATATATATATATCGTGAGGTTAGAATTGTTTTGTTCTATCTCCACATTTTTTTGTTTCGAGATAAAACGATTTAAAAAATTAAAACTTTAGGAGACCACATATAAAAAGATTTTTATTACTTATGTTTTCTCTGAAACCTTTTTGATTTTAACTTAGGTTTTAATATAGTAGAAAAACAAAATTTTTAGGTACATGACACAATTAATAACTCATTTTTTTCAAAAAGTGGAGATAAAACAAAATAGTTCTAACCTCGCGATATAGGGTAGATTAGGGTAATATGAGCACCTTAAGCAAAAATTGGAATATTTTCAAAAATAAATATGCTGGATCCAAAATTTTTGCAAATAAACAATTTTTAGGGATCCCTATTCATAATCTATTTAGATATTTGGGCACTTGACTTTTTTTCTTAAAAACACAGAGGTTTTAAAAAAGTAGCAAAAGTGCTCGTACTACCCTGACCCCTTGGTAATATGAGCACTTTAAATTAGCTCAAAAAAATAGCATTAATTAAGTAAAAAAAGACCAACCTGCTTAATAGAACTAATTGTTGGAATATCAGGATTCGTGATTAACAAAACATATCATTAAAAGATCAAATTTTAAGCTACATTTTGTTGAAACAATACTACTATGTTTTCCGCCAAAAAAAAAAAAAAAATTAAAACATTGTTTTTTCAATTTTGTTAACTCAAACCTTTGAACAATAAAAATTAAAATTTTTTAGATTTAAGCTACAGAAAAATATTTAGTATTGTTAATATATTAAAATTTTTCACTATGTTTTGTTTTTATTCAAGAAGCAATTAAAAACCACTGCTATTTTAGGCCTTTAAACTAAGCAGTTTCAATGAAAAGCACTGGGTAATTTGAGCATGCTTATATTACACAAAAATGGTATCTTTAAATAAAATCAAAAATAAATGTTTCTATGCATTATTTTTCAAACAAAAATGAATTGGATTTTTAGCTAATATATTTTTCTTTATGAAAAAATTAATTTCATTATTTTAGCACCTAAATATCGCGCCACAGTATTATTTACGCGTGATGATTTTTTTTTAACAAAGCAAAAAATTTAAAAGCGTTTTAATTAGATGATATCCGCTAATTACTGCGTATAAATTTACGCTAATTGTACTGATTCCTGTTATCACCACATAAAGTCGATTCGAAAAACATAAAGCAACTTTAACTTCACTGCTTACATCTAATAAATCTTTAAGTATGCTCATATTACCAAGGTGCTCATATTACCCTAATCTACCCTATATATAGTAGAAAATAAAACTACGCGATTTTTACATCTTTAAGTTTCATGCTGTTGCAATCATCAGGTGAAATACAAATATAGTTTGTTTGTTAAAAAATTATATACAATTGAAACTATACAGAAAAAATCTATACGGAAAAAACTTTTTTTTATTGTTACAACCACATTAGGGGTGCTCAAAAATAAAAAAATTTCAAAACGCGAATACACAATAAGCCAAATTTGGGGCAAACATAAAAAAAAATACGATAAAAAAAAATATATTCAAAAATATTGACATTTACCTTGGGCTCAAGCGGCAAAATACCCCGAAAAATGCCCCAAATAGTTCCCAAGTAATTTGGCTTTGAGCGCTAGGTAAATCTCAATATTTTGTAATTTTTTTTTTATATTTTGCTCATAATGGTCCAAACTTTTTTTCTAGTTTGTTGTGCTTTCTGTTTTTTTTCATAATTATTGTTTAAATTAAAAAAAGATTTTGCAAAAAAGTACGCAAAAAAATAGTTTTAACGCGCATTTAACAAAAGAAATAAACTTTTACTTAATGTCAAAAGTGTGAAAACACTTTAGTGCTATTTAAAATTTACTTTTGTTTGCTTTGTTTTGCTTCACTGTATTTTTCTATTGCTAATTTTTCTTAAATAATAAACATTTTAAAATGTCATAAAAAGAAAAAACTGACGACAGTAAATAGTGTTGAATTATTCAACACTATTTACACTATTTACTTATAATATTTTTAGATTATATTCAATGAATATAATCTAAAAATATTATTCCAGTTATAATGGAAAGTTTAATAGAAAACAATAAGAGTCACAAAGATTGATAGTTGTAAGTGCAAATAGCAGTGAGAAACTATGAAAAAATGGTAGAGAAAAGCAAAATAAAAAAATGAAAAAAACACATTTTATTATTGAGGAAGTCAAACCAGCAATACCAGGTAATGAATTTTTTCTGATTTCATTTTTAGTTTTAAATAATATTTCAATAAGATTTCACGTTTTTGCAAAGGATCAACCTTACTGAATTTTTTAGTTTTTTTTTTAGTTGATCAACTACCAACAGGATTGGATATTTTACAGCACATAGCTTTTAATCAGTCTATGCTTCCTAAAACATCAAAAAAATCTTTAATAATTGCTTGTTCAGTAAAAAAAAAAAGGAAATATGAAAGATGTGTTGAACAACATTGTAAGTGTATTCTTTGTAAATAAAGGATTCGTGGCTTAAAGCTGGATTTCCTCTTCAATCAGATAACAGTTTGATTCAAAAGCTGAACAAGTTGAACAAAAAATATGTTAATTTAAAAAAAAAACATGTACCGGATGTCGTCTTTAGAATTGAAAAAGCAATAAGACTTCAGAAAAGAACTGGGAAAAGTCTTTTGGATAGGAATACCTGACTTACAAAGCTGGATAAAAAAGGACAAAAAAGATCTGACCTAGATAAGAAAGAGGACCAAGAATTTATATACGATCAAGAACATGACAGAAAGTTATTTCTAGGGCCAGAAGATATGAAATACAGGAAGAAGGTAATTCATTTAATGACCTTTTTTTTTCCTGAATTTAAAAACTACCTTTTTGCTACTTTTTCATTATTGAGCTTAATTTTTGTTTTAATACTTTTTACATTATTATCTTTTTCAATTTTACAAAATTTTGATAAAGAAATTTATAAAGAATAATATAAAATAATAATAATAACAATAAAAATAATAATAACAATAATATTAATAATGGTGAATGTTGTTTAGAATTTAGAGAATACAAGAAAAAGAAATTCATCTAAAAAAGATGCTGCAAAATTACTGGAAGTAAGGAATTCAGAGTTGGAATTTAGTCCAAAACGAGACCCGAGCGAAGATTCATCGTTTGATTCAGATTGTGACCCAGGATATTGGCGTTCTTTAGAGTCTAATAGCATAATAAAAGCTGAAGATCCAAAAGGTATTCTTTCTGGTAATGTTGCCCTAATAGCTACAGTTACTGATATTTCTTCCAATGTTTTGACAAAAGTTACGGCTGCAATCCTTGATAGTTGTAGCGTTGATCTTACAAATGTAAGTTGCAGCAGTTCGACAGCATCTAGAAAGATGAAACAAACAGCTCAAGAAATGGCAGCTATTGCTAAAGAAGATATCATACTTAGCATCCAAGCGTCTCCCTACCCATGCATTGTTCATTTTGATGGAAAAACACTTTTCGAAACCAATAATGGAAAAAAACTTAAGAGTGACAGACTAGTTGTTCTGGCAACCATAGATAAGGAGTCACATCTTCTCGGTGTCACGCCATTAGCCTCTTCATCTGGGGAAGATCAGTACAGTGGAGTGATGAAACTACTAAAAGAGTACAATCTTGAATCAAAGATTGGATTACTTTGCTTTGATACAACATCAAGCAATACAGGTATACATAAAGGATCTCTAGTAAGAATATCTACTGCGCTAAATAAGTATCTTAATTATATTTCTGTTAGCTTGCAGACATCATGTTTCTGAGTTGAGAATCACACACTTCTGTGAAGCTGTAACAAATGAAAAAACCACGGCGCCTGATAATCTTCTGTTTAAACAATTCAAAAACATGTTTGAGCAGCCTAATTTTGAGTATAAACTATCTTTGCTAGTTAAATTTTCTTGGGATGAAGTTAAAGGAACCGTTGTTGAAAAAGCTTTAATAGAATCTCTAGACTATAGTAGATTTTACTTATCAAGAAATGATATTGCAAGGGAAGATAGAAAAGAGCTAGCAGAGCTAGTGGTCAGCTATCTCTCTGCTTCTAATTAAAATTAAAAAGACTGGAGCTATTCACCATGCGAGATTTTTAGGGAAATCTATATACTATTTAAAAATGCAAATTCTTTCAAATCAGATTGATTTTCTTCTAAAAAGTAAAGAACATATTAAAATAATAACAGGATTTATAGCTTGCTTTTATGCAAAGAGGTATCTGCAATCAAATGATACAATCAAAGCTCCTTACATGGATGTTACTGCCATTCATGAAATGCATCAATATAAAACAGTATGTGCAGAACCAGATGCCGTAAATGCTGTGTTGAATTCTTTATTCAAACATAGATGGTATCTAGATTCAACTCTGATTCCTTTAGCTTTGCTGGATGATGGCGTTACACTTGAAGAGAAGAAAAAAATTGCTGCAATATTATCAATTCCAAAACCAATGCCATGCTATTTTAAAACGAAAAGTAAACAGAACAAAGACATGAGAAAAATGTTAACACTTGAACTAGACATTCATCAGCAGCCTCCTAGCGTAGCTCCTTTGGTTGACGAATTCTCCTGGGTAATGTTTGAGATGGTTGGAATAGATGAACAGGAAATTGAAGACTGGCTGACCTTGCCACCTCAGTATTGGCACAGGCAATCATCGTTTAGATTATTTCTAAAATTTGCAAATAGTATTGTTTGTGTAAATGACCATGCCGAGAGGGCTATTGGAATGATGCAACTATTTGTTCACCGCTACAGAGATGAGGAAGAAAAACAAAATAGACTTATTACTGCAGACAAAGTTCGTTCAATTCTCAAGGCATCAGACAGCGAATCGTTATCAACCAATAAAATAAATAAACAAGTATTAAGCAAGAAAAGAATCACAGATGGATTACTTAACATACGCTCCAAAATACAGAAAATAAATTAAAACAGGTTACAAAAAATTAAAAAAGTTTGTATCATTCAATCAACTTTTATTTTATTCTCAAAAGATTAATTAAAATAAAATTAAGTTTCTTTTTGAGACGTTGAACAATGTTATTATATATAAGTCATATAAATGCAGAATTGTTATGCATTATTTTGTTAAAAGCGCGTTAAAACTTTTTTTTTGCGTATTTTTTTGCAAAATCTTTTTTTTATTTAAACAACAATTATGAAAAAACCAGTATACACAACAAACTAAAAAAAAAGTTTGGACCATTATGAGCAAAATATAAAAAAAAATTACAAAATATTGAGATTTACCTAGCGCTCAAAGCCAAATTACTTGGGAACTATTTGGGGCATTTTTCAGGGTATTTTGCCGCTTGAGTACCAATATTTTTGAATTTTTTTTTTTTTTAATCGTATTTTTTTTATGTTTGCCCCAAATTTGGCTCATTGTGTATTTGTGTATTCGCGTTATGAAAATTTTTTTTTTGAACACCCCTAAACCACGTGTATCTAATCTTCAGGTTTGTGGTTGCTTAATAGAAATTTATTTTTGTGATGATAAAATTATTAGTTTTTTTTTTTTTTTTTCTATGTTAATTTTCCTCCTCAAGGTTGAGTAGGCTACTTATTTGTGGTTATGTAACCCTCTCTCAACTCTATAAATCCGAAACACGAACCTTGACGAACAAGGTCGCTGCGCGGAGAAACGTGTTTAATTAAACATAGTAAACATTGAGTTAAACAAAGTAAACATTTTTTTGTTGTATTGTTGTAAGTAGGGTTCTTTTAGGATAGAACAAGTTAATTTTGGTGTTTCTTTTAGTTTTTCCGGAGTTTCCTATATATATTTTGAGAGAGTGGTTGCATTTGAAAGTTTTTTATTTGTAAATGATTGCTTGTGGTTTGAATATCTCTTTTTCCACACTCCTTCTGATAAGTCAGTGTTACAGCCTGAAGCTGTAACCATGTACAACTTATGGTGTACATAATTACATCTATTTTACTAGATGTAATTATGTACACCATAAGACTCTACTTTAATTAAAATTTGTGATTACTTTTGTTTTTTGAACAAATAATGGATTTTAAAAGTTATAAGTGCGTTATAAAGGTAATAACATTATTATAGTGTTATTACTTTTATAATGCAGTTAGTTATTAGAGTGTTATTACTTTTTTAGTCGTAAGTTTATTGTTTTAATTTTTATAATTTTTTCATTAACAAATTTAAGTTGATTTGCCCCTTGAAAACAAAGAATACGGTTTTGCATAAACTAAAATTTTGAAGACCAGATATTTTTCAAAATTTTGCATTTCGCGATCGTTTAATTTAACCCTTGCTTAGTTCTCTTCATTTTATGCTCTTCTTTTCTCGTTTTTGTCTTCTGCATCCAGACCTTTTTTGAGCTTAAAGAGCACTCAAGAATGCAAGAACTTTGTCCTTTTTTTTTTAGGTACTAAGTCTATTGGTTTCTATTTTCACCTTGGCATCTTGATATGCTATGAAAAAATACTGTTGTAGCATCTCACTAAAAATCTTTTCTTTTTTTTAGTTTGATTTGCATCCTTTCTTCTTCTTAAGTGTCCTTTAGTTATCATGCAGATCAAGAATTTTTGCTTTTACTTTGTCTTTACGCTGTATTTCAATGCCGGCGTTTGCTCACTGCTGCTAAACTTCAATAACGAGTTTGTCTGCCACAGCACTGTTACAACTGCTATGCTTCTTAAGCTTCATTAGTCCATCTTTTAAATAAAAGAACAAGTGAATAACATCCCTTTCTGTGGGGACTCTTGAGGCTGGTAATGCCAATATGGGCTTTCCTATCAGCCAGATATCATCATCTTTCCTCAGAGTCATTGCACAGTTAGCACACTGTTATTAATTATTTAGCAATCAAATACACAGTACTATTTAGTGAATTTAAATTTATAACATTTTCAAATGCAAAAACATTAAAAGGAAGTCAGCCATTTTGCCACTTGTTTTTTTTTTTTTTTTTTTATTTGCATTCACTCCCAACAAGGCGGCAAGCAACCACTATTAAGTTGGGAGTTACTAGGAAAAAAAAAGAACAGAGCTATAGAGCAAGGAAACGGTTGACAGAAGACTTAAAAAGTTGAAGGTTGTATGAGTCAGGAAAATATGAAGATGGGAGAGAGTTCTAAAGGATTGAAGTGCGGGGAAAAAAACTAGATGAATAAAAGTTTTTAGAGCATGCAGGGACAGATACAGAAAACGAATGAGACTTAGCTGAATGACGAGTAAAATGAGAATGAATTTTAGTTGATGGAACTAGAGATGATAACTCCTTTGAGCAATGACCATGATAGTATTTGTAGAAGAGAGAAAGAGATGCAACTTTACGACGATGGGAAAGAGGTTCAAACTTAGCAGATAGTCCAGGTCCAACAACATTTACAATGCGTTTTTGGACCTTGTCAAGAAGAGAAAGTGAATCGTTAGAAGAACTAGCCCAAATATGATAACAGTATTCCATACAGGGACGAATAAGAGATTTGTAGAGGTAGAGAATGGAATCAGAAGTAAGGAAATGGCGAGCACGATAAAGAGAAGCAACCTTAGCAGAAGCTAATTTAGCAATTGATTGTATATATGGTTTCCATGAAAGGTCAGTAGTAAGCGATAATCCAAGAAGACTTAAATAGGGGGACTCAGTAAGAGGATTGCCATTCATTAATATAGGAATGTTGACCATATTACGGTAGTTGTTTGCAGTAAACAACTGGGTTTTGTTAGAGTTGAAATTCACAAGCCACTGTGAGCCCCTATCTATTACTGAAGTGAGATCGGATTCAAGATCAGCTGCTTGTTCTAGACGATCGAAAAGAGAAGACTTTTTGTCAAGACAGGAGTATAAAGTTGAGTCATCAGCAAAAAGAGCTACTTTAGATGAAAGGTTGTCAGGAAGATTGTTTATGTAAATAAGAAACAAAACAGGGCCCAGGATGGAACCTTGGGGAACCCCAGAAGTTACTGGAAATAAAGAAGAGTGTCGGCCTTCAAGGATGACTTTAATAAACCGGTTAAAAAGAAATGATTTGATAATCTCAAAAACTTTCCCAGAAACACCATATGAAGCAAGCTTATGGAGAAGACCAGCATGCCAAACTTTGTCGAAAGCTTTAGATATGTCGAGAGCAATAGCCCTAGCTTCACCGCCTCCATCTAATGCACGATAAAATCTTTTAGTTACAGCAGTTAGCAAGTCGGCCGTAGAGCGAGAGGATCGAAAACCGTATTGATTGTCTGACAGTAGTTTATTTGACTCAAGATGAGATGTGAGGAATTTGTTGATCAAAGATCAACAAATTCCTCACATCTCATCTTGACTCAAATAAACGACTTGAGTCAAATAAACTACTCAAACCATCGACTTCTGGTGCACCCTAATGCATACATATATACATACATGCATACATACATACATACATACATACATACATACATACATACATACATACATACATACATACATACATACATACATACATACATACATACATAAATACATACATACATGCATACATGCATACATACATACGTACATATAGGCTGACCAGAATATTCTTTTTTTGTAAGAAAGCACAGCTTCAAAACTTATTAAATCTAATTTGTTAAAAGTATATATAAAGTTATAATAGTATAGTATATAATATGTATATATACATTTTATATATTATATTACTATTTATATTTTTATAGAAGTTTTTTAATTAGGGTCTTTTAAAACATTAATTTTTTTTAATTTAGAAATTAAAAAGTCAACCTGGAAATGCAATAGAAGGTACTTGAATCTAAAAATGATAATAATTTCTCTGTCTGTATAGTTTTCATTTGTGAAATGTTACTTTTTTTCATTAGTAATTTATCGAGGCTCATTTGGAAACTTATCCTCTAATATATTATAATTGAACAGTTGTAATTAATCAATACATTTTAAGCGGGTATTCTAAATACTATTTAGACAGGTACTAATATCCAATTATTGTGGTATGAATGGACTACCAAAGTTTTAAAAACTTTTAAAGGGTTTAAATTTTTTTTTTTTAACTTTAAAAGATAAACAAAATGTATAGCTTTTCTAAATGTATATATATATATATATATATATATATATATATATATATATATATATATATATATATATATATACACATATACATATATATATAAAATTATTTTTCTACCGCTTATTAAAAAATATTGAAGTAATCAACTGCTGCAATTAAAGCATTTTTTTTTTAATTTCTTTTTTATTCCATTCACTCTTATAAAAGTGTTATTATATTATTTGTCTTTTTACAATTTCTAAAAGGTTTTGTTATGGTAGGCAAGATTTCTTTTTTAATAAACTAGCTTTTATTAAATATAATAATAAACAATAATAATAATCTGTTATATATTAATATTGAAATTAATGCTGCCATTACCCCTTTGTGAGTGTTTGACATAGAACTCAAAACAGCCATTAAAATTGTATTTTGACATGTGCCAAGTTAGTGGCACATGTCACAATTAAAAATTAGTTGAATTTCCACAAAGATAAAACAAAAAAACTGACTAAGGTTCCTATAATCAACTCTTGCAAAAGTATTTAAACATATTTTTAGTACAAAAATAGTGGGCATCTTTTGCATGGTGTATAACAATAAATAAATTTTTAGGTTATTCCAATTCATAATTACATAGTGTTTAATTTTGCACTAACTTCATGCCATTATTTTTTTCTTCTCATTTTTTTTTCCCATTTATTTCCCATTAACTTCCCATTTCTTTTTTCTAACATCCCATTATTTTTTTTTTAATTACATACAATGCCCTATTATTATTATTTTTTTTTACAAGTATGATTACTTTTAAGCAAAAAGTAATCACACTTGTAATATTCTAATAACTTTATTAGCTCTATTGCTTGGCAACCATTTTTTAGTTAGACAACTCCAAGCAGTATATTGTTACAATTTAAAGCATCTAAAGTGCTAAACTTATTGTCAGTTTATTATAAACATTATTATTATAAACATTTTAAGGGCTTACAAAATTTAGTTAACTAATTTGGAGTCATAATGAAGTACCAGTCTTAGGTTTTTTAGTAAATCAATAATCTGCTTTCTTTGAATTTAAAACTAAGTTGATTTAGTTAAGTTTTTTATTGTTATTTTTAAGCATTTCTTGTTAGAATTTTATATTGATTTTTTTAAGCAAATAAAAAATAAATGGTATCATAAATACTTTAAAAGTTCTGAGTTCCAAGTTAGTTCAGAGTTACTAATTGTTTAAGAAGTAAATTGTTTTTAGAAACAGTAATTATTATTTCATTTTAAAATATTTTTACTATTAAAGATTACTATTAACAAGTAAAATGTCCATTAAGTATGATTTGGGGTACAATCCCTGTAATGGTCATGCTGGTTTATACTTTAACAACAAGATGTCATTTCTGCTCTCAGACTGGAACTTCACCAGCAGATCTCAAAACCGCAAGAATTAATTTTAGTAAATGGCACAAGAGACGCTAGCTCTTTAGAGCAGTGCCCATTATAGTATTTATAGAAAAGAGAAAGAGAATTGCAACCGAGGTAATGGTGAGAAAGAGTTGCAGCAGCTTTGTTTTCGAGAAAATGTGAATGAAAGTGTATGCAAATATCTAGCATATGTAAACTTCAAATTATGTAATGTTTAAACATACTAAAACATATATCAAGCTTTTCAATTTTATTTTCGCTTCAAAATTGCATTGCAATTTACAGCATTAATTTTCGTCAGAAAAAATTTTTGTATAGTTTTAAAATTTCAATTGTCAACGTGCCAGCATGGCCAAGTGGTTAGCGCACTGAGCTTCTAAACAAAAAAGCTGTGGTTTGAGTCCAACCACCGGCAATCTTTTTTTAATTTTTTTAGATTTTTAAAATACAAAATACTTTTGAAGTTTTATAAAGATTATATACAGACATATCTAACGATATTATACACTTTAACAAACAAAAAGATTTTTAAAAAAGCTAAAAATTCTAAAAACATTTAAAATTGGGGAAGAGTAGTTGTTTTGTATGAGTAATGATTGAGATACTTATCTTATTTTAGTTTTACATATCAAGTTTTTTTACAACTAAGTTGAGTTTGTGCAAGAAAAATGAGCATACACCATGATAATATATATATATTTTTTATTTTGATTCACCTCCTCAAGGCCGAGAAGGCCACTACAGACGAGGAGGCTACTTATTTGTGGCTATAACCCACTCTCAACTCTATAACTCCGAAATACGAACCTTGACGAACAAGCCGTGACGCTGCTGCGCGGAGAAACGAGTTGAGCGCGGTACTACCAGGGACGTGGTGGGGATCGAACTCGGAACCACTCGTTTATGAAGCGAGCGCTCTACCACTACACCACTACCGCATAATATATAATATATAGTATAAAATCTATAGAACTGTAAAGTTGTTTTGTTTTGCATTTTAAATTACAAAAATTAAAAAATAAAGCAAGCTGATGATTTGAACTTACCACAAGGCAACCTCAACTTTTTAAACCCCTTAAAGCAGTAAGGGGTTTAAAAAGTATATTTTAAATAAGAACATAATTAAATATTCTTATTTTATATATAAATTAAACCATTTTATTAAATTATATACTTTTAAAAATAATTAAAAGTTAAAAATTATATTAATATTAATACAATAAAGAAATTCAAAGTTTTACACCTATTTAAAATACGCTATTTACCACGCCCCTATAAAACATTCTGAACCCAGTTTAAACCATCAAAATAGTATTATACTCCGTTATTTTTTGGCTTTATATACTTTTAGACTGATCACTAATCTAAACTTGTGAATAAGGGATTGTCTTTTAATTACATAATGCTAAATTTCACTAATGAACAAAACAAAAAAGATCAAAATTGTCGTATGTTAAATAAAAAATCAAAATAGCTTATCAAGTTTAATGAAAATTGCTACCAAAATAAAATGAAGATCTCCTTCTTTTTTAAAAAAAAAATTTAGCGTTGCATAATTTATGGAAATCGCTTAGGATTTTATAGTCTATAGTTTTTAATGGCCTAAAATCTTCTTGGTTCTGCTATTTGTATAGTGTTGCGTACAAATGTCTGTAAAAGTAAACATCTTTAGCATATGTTGAGTTTGCAGGCAGTATATGGAACAATCGTGTATAATCTATAAAAATGAGAAAACTTTTGAATTTTATTTTAAAAATTAGAAAATTTTTTTGCTATACAATTATTTTTTTGCTATAAATATTGCTATAATTATTATAGATATATACTATAAAAAAAATTTTGCTATAAATATTTCTATTAGCACAGCAAGATTGTAAAATATTCAAAATTTATTAGGGGAGGTCTTTAATCCCCAAAATGAAACTGATGATAGCGCACTAAACACTGAGCTATCAATGATATGCATTTAGGAGAAAAACAAACCTAATTATAAATCTCTCATAAGTTCTAGGTATGCTGAAAGGGTGCACGTGTTAATTTTTTTGCCCTTAAAGCAATTTTTTATAATGAATTTTTTTACGTAAAAATATTGAACTAAACAAATCATAGGTATAGAAATGATCGGCATGGAAGAGATAAGTATAGAAGAAGTAGGTTTGGTAAAGACCCGTATTTTATTGGTCTGGAAAGATAGGAAATTTATATAAGGAAAAAGTATAGAAAAGGTCAGTGTGGAATAGACTTACAAAGACCCATACTTTTACGGGTCAGATCAGCTAATATATATATGTATATATATATATATATATATATATATATATATATATATATATATATATATATATATATATATATATATATATATATATATATATATATAAATTTGTAAATAAAGAAAATACAACTTTTTATGGTACTAATAGTTTCATGCCTAAAGGCAATCATCGGCCATGTAATACAAAATCATGAAATAAAAAAATTAATATAAAATTACAATGTAATTTTAAAAATATAAAGTTACAATGGAGTGTGCTCCGATGTCATAACAACAAACAACAGAAAGAAAATATATGTGTATATATATATATATATATATATATATATATATATATATATATATATATATATATATATATATATATATATATATATATATATATATATATAGAGAGAGAGAGAGAGAGAGAGAGAGAGAAAGAGACAGAAAGAGAGAGACAGAGAGAGGGGCTAGACAAGGGTATTATGAGCAAATTGAGTGAAAATTGGAATATTATTAATAATAATCATACTGGGGATCACTACATGTAATTTACTTAGATATTTGGGTACCCAATAAAATTTCTTAAAAACCCAGAGATTTTAAAAAAGTAATTGCTCATATTACCCAGATCACTTGATGAGCACTTTAAGTTAGCACCCAGATCACTTTAAGTTAGCACCCAGATCACTTTAAGTTAGCACAAAAAATTAACATTAATTAGTTTATGAAATATAATGGTTCATTATCAACAACTTTTTCCTTAAAATATCAAATTTCAAGCCACTTTTTATTGAAACAATACTATTTTGTTTTATGCAACAAAAAAAATTAATTGGTTTTTTTTTTTTTTTTAATTTTATTAACTCAAATGACAAAAAACTTAAATTTTTTTAAATTTAAATTACAGAAATATTTTTTTTCAAAATTTTTTATTTTTGTTTTTATTTAAAAAGCAATTAAAACCGCTGCAATTTTATGACTTTAAACTAGATAATTTTAATGAAAAACTCTGGGTAATTTGAGCATACTCATATTACTCAAAAATAGCATCTGTAAAGTCAAAAATAAATTTTTCTATGCATTGTTTTCCAAACAAAAATGGAATGGATTTCTAGCTAACTTTTTTTTCTTTTAGAAAAACGAAATATCATTATTTTGACATCAAAATTTTGCACCACAAATTCTTTTATGCATAATGATAATTTTTTAACAATGCAAAACATTGAATAGCCTTTTAATTAGACGAGAACCGCTAATTTCTGCTTATAAATTTGCGCTAATAATACTGATTCCTGTTATCACCACATAAAGTATATTCAAAAAATACGAAGAAACTTAAACTTCACTGCTGGCATCTTAAAAATCTTTTGGTATGCTCATATTACCAAGATGCTCATATTACCTTATCCTACCCTATATTTATGTAAACACACATAAAAACACACACAAATGCACTTATTGTTTAATACTTTAAATTATGGCAATGCGTGAGACAATTCAGAAAACAATGAAGTCATTATTACAAGTTTGATTTAGTTTGCATCAGCTTTTGAAATCTTATCTCTTTTTAGTATTAGTATTTTACATTTGACATGAATAGTAAATAATAAATTTTAATGCTTTAGCTTTTAGACTGCCTTCATGGTTGCCTCTACCCCAAAATTAAACTACTTTAACTACCCCTTAAATTTTTTATAAAATATTTAAGGTTGTGGTAGTGGTGTAGTGGTGGAGCGCTTGCTTCATAACCGAAAGGTTTTAAGTTTGATCTCCACCACATCCTTAGTAGTATTGCGCTCAACTTGTTTTTTCATGCAGCAGCCTTGTTTGTCAAGGTTTGTGTTTCGGAGATATAGAGTTGAGAGAGGGTTATAACCACAATTAAGTAGCCTCCTCGTCTGTAGTGGCCTCCTCGTCTGCAGTGGTCTTTTTGGAAGTGAAATAAAATTTTAAAAAATTAAAAAAGGGGGAAGTAGTTTTTTAAAATTGTTCTTAGAAGTGTCCAAAATGCTTTTTTAAAAATAGAGATTTTTCAATTTCATTTGTAAGACTTCTTTTATTGTAGTTCTTAAATTAATTTTTTAAATAATTTTCTAAAGGAGTTTTCTATTTTTATTTTTAAAGAATGGAGAAAATTATTTCAAAAGGCTGATTCAGATTCATCCGGAAATATTGACAAAGGTGAATTAAAAAAAATTTTAAAAGAGTTGAATGCATATCCTGGAGATAAAGAATATGATTTTGTCTTCAAAGAGTTTGACATAGATGGTAAGTACATAAATATATTTTATTGGTTGTAAATGCTATGTGGTATTCTTATTGTTTTATTAATAAAACATTTTGTAACATATTTTATTTGAATTGTAGAACTTCATTGAGTGCCATAATTAGATGATTGATAAACTTTAAGATATCAATCACTTAATCTTTTTTTGTAAGCTTACATTGCAAGCTTTTTTAAGCTTTTAAGTAAAAATCAGGTTTAATACTTATAGTGGTCATCTAACATACCCTTTGTTAGGATTATATACATTTGGTAGATTAACTTGGCAAAATATTAAAGGAAGTATTCAATTTGTAAGATTTTGCTGAAAAACACTTGAAATTAGCAAAGTTCAAATAAGATTTATTTTCTTTAAACATAACATTTATCTAAATAATGTTACCAAGAAGAGAAATACTAAAATCAGTCTATAATTTTTTTTTCCTCCTTAGTCTATATTGTTGTTTAGTAAATTTTTCAATATTAGAAAGTAATAAAGTTGGATAAAAGTGAAAAGAAATTGAAAAATGTGGAAGAAATTAAATATTTTGAAGTAATGAAAAAAGAATTTAAGTAAAAATGAAAAACAGAAAAACAGAACAAAAAGGTCTAACAAAACCAAAAATCATAAGGAAAACTGTATGTTTTGTATGTTTACAAAAATGTAAAAGAGAACTTACAACATTTATTATTGAAAGAGAACACAAACTTGTTAAAAATAGATTTTAAAATAAAAGCCTCCAAGAGGAGTTAGTGTTAATTGCTCAAAAACTTGAATCAAAGTGCCAAAAAAGTTTTATTGCCTGAACTATTTAATTTTGAATTAACTCATTAACCATCAAAATACTCTGAACTATGAATGTTTGATTTGCAAGTAGGCAAAAGTTTGATAAAAATAAATAAATAAAAGGCAAACAAAAAAATGGTATTCTCATCTCAAACTTAAATGATAGATTTATAAAACAAACTGAGAACAAATGTAAAAAGTGTTTACCAATTATTGATTGGGTTCAAAGTTATTTTTCTTCTGGAAAAATATATCAAAATTTAGAAACTTTGATTTTAAAGTTGAAGCTGAACTAATTGCATCATCAATCATTGTCTCAAAGGAAAGATCGCTTCATGGTACCCTAAGACTCAGTCAGGTCACCAGTGATAAACAGTTTACAGTAGCTCCTAGTTGGGATCTACTTTGAACAAGTCAACAGGGGTTAGACTGGTTGTGCCAATCAAAAAAATCTCTCCAAATTCTTTAGACTCATATTTACATTTTTTAAAGAACATGAGACAGCAGCAGAAAACACAGATGTTGTTCATTGGAAGAATTTGAAAGAACTTAGCAATCGATAAAGTAAAATTGATAACATAAAATCGATTGAAATAGATGGTAGAAGATCATTTATGAAAATGAGTCTTGTTCTTATAAATGCATCAAAAGCAACTGATGATACATCTAGCTCTTTACACTGATGACACATCTAGCTCTCTACACTAATGACACATCTAGCTCTCCACACTGATAACACATCAAGCTCTCCACGCTGATAATACATCTAGCTCTCCACACTGATGAAACATCTAGTTCTCTACAGAAAATTCTAAAATTACTTAAGAGTTTAGTAACTCGACACACTTGAGTCCTATTAATCATTGCTTTTTCATAAGTTTGTACAAAAACATCAATTGCTGGATTTAATCAATTCAAAAATGTTAAGTTCAAAATTTCATGTCATCTTGGAATTGTCAACTTTTTGTGTAAAATTCAATCACATTCCAGCAAGATTGACTGAAATGAAAATTTCTAACAGAGTCTTGAGAACAGTCTAATGTCTGAAGATAAAATACAACAAGTTTGTTGCCTCCAGATCAAATATAAACATTCTAGGAAGTCATCAATGTAATAGAAGTTAGTTTAACCATAGTTGAAGACTCTGAACTTGTTCTGGATGATCTTGCCAATGCAGCTTCATTTTGAGAGTTGTTAACCATGTTTATAGGAAACTTCTTTTGTTTTTTTTCAGAAGAAAGAGACTGACCTACAGAGCTAAACCTTAAGATACAGCTATTTTACAGGTTTGAACAGAGTGCAGTATCCTATTAAAGAAAGGCAGAAAAATCATGTGCGTTTCAAGCTATAGGCTTTGTCAAAACATTTAGGCTCCTCAGAAATGTTGTTGTTTCATGTTTTTAACTAAATTTAAATGATTGGGACCTGTAAAAAATCCTAAAAAGTTCAAGCAATCATACCTCATCATGCCTCTTTTTGCCAGTTATTGTGATTCCTAAAGCACATTCTGTTTTCTGAGGTATTATTGCTTGAACAAAGTTCAAGCAGTCATACCTCATCATGCCTCTTTTTTCCAGTTATTGTGTTTCTATCATTCTGTTTTCTATCTTGTTCCGAAGTTCATTAAATGCTGCGACGCTTCACTTTCATAATTCAGTGAATAGGCAACAAAATCAATACACTCAATATTCTAAGATCACTGGCAAAATTACAAAAAAACAAGTCCCAGCAAACATTTGCAATGTCATTTAAAAATTTTTAAATATAAATTATTAAAGGTTACTTAATTGTGGTTTTAAGCCTTTTTCAACTCTATAACTCCAAAACACAAACCCTGACAAACAAGGCCGCTGTGCGGAGAAATAAGTTGAGCACAGTACTACCAGGGATGTGGTGAGATTTGAACTCGAAACCTCTTGCTTATAAAGTGAGCGCCTTACCACTACACCACTATCGTATCAATTAATTAAAAAAATTTTCTTAAAAGTTTTAAAAATTATCTCCCTAGGAAAAATTTTTTGATATTTTCCCAAGTTAATCTACCATATGTATATAATCATTCCTTAAAAAGGATTTTCTTGGGAACCACTATAAGCATTAAACCTGAATTTTACAGACTGTTCTTACATTGCAAGCCTCCTAATTGTACCACAGTTGCAAGTTTATAGTTTCAGTGTTAACATTAAAGTATTTAGAGTTTGTTAGTAATTGTCATTATTGATTAATTAATTATCATCAGTTATTAATTAACTTGGAAATTAATGATTTTTGTTTATTTGTGTTGTTATATATGTAATGATATCATATAATAAGATATTTAGATAATTTTTTTTTGAAAATTTTTTGTATAATAATTAAAAGTTTTACAAACAAATTATATTTAGGTTCTGGAGAAGTTGATTTTATAGAATTTGTATTAGTGTTGGTAAAGCTAAATGTTTCACTTCCTAAAAAGGTATTTATGCAGTTAGAAACAATATGTTATACTAATTTATACTAATTTATGCAGTTAGAAATTAAACTTAGATAGATGTTATACTTAAGTTTTAATGTTCTTGTAAAAGTTAAATAGTCCAAATTTGTTATTTTAAATATGTTTCTCAGGAAACACTCCAAAAAGATTTTATTTAGAACTTTGTGAAGTAGATTTGGGTAGAACTTTGTGACACTGCAGAATGTGACAGCAGGAAAGCTGAAAGAGGTCTAATTTTACAGTGACACTTCATGAACTAAACTGTAATGTGTGACTAAATTTTATAGACTAAAGGAGAAAACAATTTCTGTTAGTTTTGAATTCAAATTGATGAGAATTAACAAAAGAAAGTTTTTGAGTTTTTTGAGTGTAGAAAATTAATGAATGTAGAATTAAGTGTAAAAAAAAAATGAATTGCTTGGTGAGATCAAAACGTGTTCAGAACAACTTAATAAGTGTAGATTAGTGAACAACAACTGAATAGCAACTGATAAAGAGATGTTTGAAAAGCCAAAGCTTTAGCGCCAGCAAGGTACTAGTCAAGTCATTCCATTTAAATATAGTCAAGCCAACAATCAAGTAAACAAAACTCAACAACCATAAAAAAATATAAAATTGATTTGATTGATAAATAACGATGAAAGGGTCTGACCAAAAGTTGTAATAAAAGGCTTCAAACTTGACAATATACATTTAGATATAACAGATACACCAACCAGCTCACCAAGGCATATAATGGGTGTATAATTTACATAGTTAGATAATAAAATTTTTTTTTTGTCCATCACACTTTTTTAGTGGGGCTTGTTTAAAAGGTTAAGATTAAGCAACTGAAAAGTATTGTGGAACTAGGAATATTATGCAAAAGCACCAAATTTTTATTAATAAAAAGTTATAGTGCGCAATTTTTGTAAATATCTTTGATGTGACAGTTTGTGAAAAGATGTACCAACACAATAACATGTCATGTATAAGAAAACCCACCATATATACACAGCATATTATTGGTAATATTCTGATATTTTACAACTGTTGTTGAATACAACTTTTTTGAGTTTAAAAACCTTTAGAACACAGGCACTCTTGAGGTATTAAATGAAGATCCAGAGTTTAACATTCTTCGCAGGAAACAATTTAAGACAAAGTTTTCATGTAGACCAGCCTATAAAATCAAGAATTGTTGTACAGTAGATCTGCAAGATAGTTATTTGGTATAGTTTTATTTATACCATAGTAAAATTATATTGATATAAGTAGTACCGTAGAAGCACTAGTTTCCAGTATATTCAGTAACAAAAAACATAATGCTGACCAATTTTAAATTTTATAATAATAATCATAACCATAATTGCATTGATAATAATAAAAATATTAATGCTAATATAAAAAAAATATATACACAATCATAATCATAAATCGCATTGATAATATTAATATCAATGCTAATATAAAAAAAATATATACACAATCATAAATCGCATTGATAATATTAATATTAATATTAATATAAAAAAAATATATACACAATCATAAATCGCATTGATAATATTAACATTAATATTAATATAAAAAAAATAGTATATAATCATAATCATAATGGCATTGATAATAAAAATGATAGTAAACTAAATGTCATATAAAATTTATTATTATTTAGGTTTCTTCAAAAAATTCATTTGGTCTTAATGGTAATTAATAGAATCTGCTTTAAGTTTTTTTTTTTTTCAATACTTTTAATTGTTCATCTCTTAAAGTTGTTATTTTTATAATATATTTCAATCTAAAACTTTTTAAATTCCAAAAATTCAATTTTTTTTTTGAATTTTTTGAATACTTCTATCATTTTGTAAGGAAAATTTTCATAAAAAGTTATTATATTTAAAATTTTAGATTTTTATCGATTTTTTAAAGAAGCTGATGCAGACAATACGGAAAATATTGATGAAAAGGAAATGGAAAAGTTACTCCGCGCAATAAATCTTTATCCAGGAAATAAAGAATTTTATGCTCAGTTTCGATTAGCTGACAGTGATGGTATGTTTATGTTGTTTAATTTTATTGAAAGTGCATCATCCTCAATCTTCATCTTCATTTTATCATATTAACAAACAATTTGTAGCATTTGAGTAAAAGTTATATAAAGGAAGGAGTTAAATATTTATTTATATAAATAAAAATAATACATAATTTTATATAAATAAAAATTAATACTAGTTTATATTTTGTAAAAAATTAGTAATAAAAATACAGAAAAAGTTATTTCAGCAGATTAGTTTTGCATAATTTATAATTTTATATTTAGTATTGTTATAATTTTATATTTAGTATTGTTATAATTTTATATTTAGTATTGTTATAATTTTATATTTAGTATTGTTATAATTTTATATTTAGTATTGTTATAATTTTATATTTAGTATTGCTATAATTTTTGTTTTTAGGTTCAGGACATTTAGACTTTGAAGAGTTTGTTAAATTAATAAAAATATTCCAAGAAAACGATGAGCTGAAAAAGAAGTTTGCTGTAAGCTTATCCAGTGGGCACAAGACATGTTTTAAATGTCTAAAAAACATTTTAAAATGTGTTTTTGACCTCTTAAACACTATTTTTTGTTCTATTTTATCAAAACCAAACACTTTTTTTTTTCTTTCCTAAAAAATCAATTTTACATTTTCAAATTGATTGTTTAAATTTTTTACTGTTATTAAGTTATTGCCAGATCACAACAGAATTCCTTTTTTGAAAAGTTGACAATTGACATTGAAAACACAAGTATCATGAATATTCGTGTTATCAGCATCAATTATGAATGTATTTGTGTTTTTCGTATCAATTATGAATGTTTTTGTGTTATCAATTTTAATTTAATGTTATTAAGTACCAATGTTTTAAAAAAGTACTTTGATAATGCATTTTATTTATTTATTTTTCTACCAGTTAATATATTACAGATTGACAGAATATTTCAACAATATTTAAATTTTATAGACAAAAACTATCCAAAATTTATAAATGCTCTGGCATTGATCCAATCTGCATTAACTGAAAGTGAGAGAGAGTTTTTTAATCGGCAGTAATTTCTGTACAAAATTTAATAATAATATTATTTTATTAAAAAAATTGATTTTTAAATGACATTTACTTTTATATAATGTGTGCTTTAAACTGTGATTTCTAAACTGTTTTTTTAAGTTTCTCCAGTTTTCTTTAAGCCCTCTTAAACACGCCTTGTCCCCTCTGGATAAATTTGATTACTTGCATTACTAAAATAAAAATAAAAAATCATTTTACATTACTTAAAATAACTTGTATTTTATGTTGTTAATTGCATCTGTTTGAATCATACATGTTTAAATTCCATATGCTAAAGTAATAAAGTCCATAATGTACTTCTAAAAGTTATGTAAGTATTTTTTTTCTATTTTCTATTTATTTAAAGAATTATTTTTTTTTAGAAACTTGATGTTGATGGAAATGGTTTTTTAGACTTCAATGAAATTAAACGTGCTTTCAAAGCTATGAACTACTCTATATCTGATCAAGCCATACAGGACATGATTGCAGTAGCAAGCTTAGATGGTGACAATACAGTGTCGTTTGAAGGTATTGTCTATATATTTTTTTGTAAGATGTTGTTGAGAATTTTTAAAAACATAAAAACATGAAACACAAGACTCGAAAAGTTAAGGAAAATGTAATAAAAATAAGAATCAGGTAAACCTAAAGATAAAAGAATTTTTCTTCACATTCTTTTTCACATAAAAAGGGAGTATATAAACTTTTTTAAATATATTATGATTTAATAATATATTACTTTTTTTTTATTATAAATTAATTAAAAAATCTTGTGGTGGCATCAGTTAAAATATTGTAAAAAAGATCCCCATGTTCTTGTTTTCACTTTGTCACTGTCATCTCGGTTGAGAACAACTCCCCAGTGATATTGTCAGTGAAATATCACAAATATGTTATTAAATCGTTTTATATTTTTAAATATTTCCATTTAACTAAATGCATGCTTAAGTCTGTAAGTTCATACATAAATGTGCTTATATGTTTGTGATATATTGGAAAAAGGTTGCATGATTGCATGTTTCATATTATATAAATATTTAGTTAGAAATTTGGCTTAATATGCTGAATAGGTCTGTGAAAATTAAAGTTTTTTATCATATAATTTTCGATCTAGACCAACATAAGCTGCCAAATGTTTGCCATTATTGCAAGGCAACTTTTTTGTGAATTGGCTTTAAGATATTTCTTGATTTTATATGCTTTTAATCGATATAAAATACAGTACAAAATAGTAGAACAATAGAGAATAGTACAAGAAAGAAACACAGCAGAAAGTTTTAACAAACGAGGTAAAATAACCCTTTTTTAAATTGTCTTTTTCTTCAGAAATATATATATATATATATATATATATATATATATATATATATATATATATATATATATATATATATATATATATATATATATATATATATATATATATATGTATAAAAAAAGTTAGATATTTTGGCTTTTATAGTTAAGACTATTATAAAAAGAAGAAACTGGAAGTGTGATAAAGTGTGGTCAATCAGAAACAATCATTTTTAACTGCTCATGAATTAACCCTTACTTTGAATTGTTCTCAAGAAGCTCCTGTCTCTGTAACAATGGTGAAGAAGCAATTGATAGAACCAGGGCTTGGTGGAAGAATCGCTGTGAGGAAACCATTCCCTCTGCCCCAATATTAAAAAAATGGCTTGATTGGGCAAAAATAAACAACAAAAACATCGATGGCTAGAAAAATTTTATTTGGACCGACAAGTAGAAGTTTTAAATTTTTGATTTAAAGAGATTGTTTTTCCAAAGTAAAGTTGGTGAATGGATGATAAAACAATGTGCATTGTTGACTGTCAAACATTGTGGGGTAATGTTATAGTTTGGGGCTGTTTTAGTGGAAATAATTCAAGTAAAATTTTAAAAATAGCAGGAGTAATGATGTAAGAAGTGTATTTGGATTATTTAAAATTATGCTACACCTTCGGGATTCGGAACTATTGGGGACTTATTCATTTTTCGAGAAGATAATGATTCAAAGCATTATTTAAAGTTTTATAGGAATTACTTGATTGAGTTAAAAAATGATCAAATGTTGAATAGAATGATTTGGCCTCCTCAATCACCATATTTCTTTCCTATTGAACTCTTATGGCATGAACAAAAAAGGAAAAAAATTAATGCTTAAATGGTGCAAAGGATATGCGAAAAAAATTGACTTTAATAAATTAGAAATGTTATGTAGAATGCCAAAAATATGTAAGGCGTCACTATGGGTGGTTACATAGATGAAGTTTATAAATTAATTTTATTTTATTATCTATTTTTTCATGTGCAAATTTAATAGTAAGGTTAAGCTTAATTTTCAGGTAATTTTTGTTTTCAGTTTCTTCCCAATAGTAAGTAAAACTTGAATGACTTTGAAAAGACCATTTGATCATTGGAATAACTATGGATGGTAGTGTGTGTGTGTGTGTGTGAATATATATATATATATATATATATATATATATATATATATATATATATATATATATATATATATATATATATATATATATATATATATATATAATAGTTTTAATCATGCTAATTTTTCAATTTTGGATTCGGCCTCCCACAAATTTATATTAAAACTCAAAGAAAGCATGTACATTTAACAATACTGGTTCTTTTATCTTTTTAAAACCTTTGTTGTTACATTTTTTAATTGCATTTTTATTGTATTTTTATTATAAGGTCTCTATTAGTTCAACTTTATTTTAATAAAGTTGATCAACTATTGATCAACACTAGATCAACTTTGAGTCGACAGCAATAAAATACCCGCGGAAAGTAGACGCCTCAAAAATCAGTATAACTTTATCAATTAAAATTTTTTTTTTTCAAAAATTAATGAAATGGCTTCAATTTTCAAGTCGACTTAACGTTTTCGAGGAATTTTTCTTTATTAAAAGTTGACTTTAACTTTTTTTTTTTTATTAGATCTCCTTAAAGTCGAAAATAAAAAAATGCGCTCACTGCGGGATAACAATTCTTATAAATACACAGGCCAAGGTGAAAAAAAGTGTGTATTTTTGTGTCACTGGTATCGCCGCGGTCCACGAAATTTCTTAAAAGGTTTTATAAATAAAACTTTAAGGGAAAAAGTTAATTGAAAAAACATTACTTCAAAGTATAAATTTTATTTGGAACTGTTTTAAATTAACTTTGAAAAAATAAGTTTTAATGTCGTTTGAACTTCGGAAAAGGTTCGCATCTTTTATGCTATTTCGTTAATGATTTTGTTTTTAACAGTGTCTAGGCCAGATCTGTATTTTGATCCAAACTTAGTCATATCTTGTCGACCTGAAATAGAAAATATATGTGCTGTAATTTGAAATAAAGATACAAAGTTATCTACTCAAATCAAAAGTAAAATCAGAATAAAACAGCACCTTGTGACAAGTGATATAAATTTAAAAAAGTTTATGGAATGTTTTAACATTTACCCTTAATTTTTTGTTTTATTCCATCTTAATTGATAAAAATTAACCATAATATTGTATTAAAAAGATAAATCTTTTTAACGCAATATTATTATACCTAATCAGGGTATCCAAGTAAATGCATTAAGTGATACCCTGTGATTAAACTAACATACTTTAGAAATCTTTATAAATAACACTCTCTCACTTATATTGTCCTTTTGATTATACCTACGACCTAAATAAGATTTATATAACTTTTATAGCTACTCACAAGACTCAAAAGTTTTCACATATAACTTTATATGTATAACTTTCTCAAATGCCCTTAAATTTTACCCATCTCCTTGCCCTCATGCCTAAACATACAATAAAATAAAAATTAAAAAAAATAAAAACATTTATTAAAAGTTGAATTGTCAAAATTTGCCCCATAGTTATACACAAAATAACTATTTAAGTATTTGCTTACAGTGCATATATAAGTATTATTCACTATATTAGAGGAACTATATTTAAAGTGGAGGAGCCAACTTAAGTTTATAAATAAGCTAAAATTAAATAAATAAGCTATTTGATTATTATGTTGGCTATTTTTTTCTACTCTTGTATTGAGGGCACAGCCCACTTTGCACCACCATTTTAGCTGCTATTGAAGAAAACTTTCAATTAAATCCCTAAATTAATGTAAACTTAAATAACAATTTTTTTGTCATAGTCAAATGCGATCATTAAAATTTAAAAATATCTTCAAAATAAATAAAAAAAGTTGTAATATATAAATAGAGTCAGATTATCTGGTGTATACTTTGCTATAAAACTTGAGACTGAGACAGAACTTTTTTCAGTTTTATTTATTTGATAATCATTAGATTGAAAATGGAACTACAATTTGCTTTCATATTCAGTAGAAAAAGTTTTTATTTGTATTTTTTTAAACTTGAGTACAGAATATTGATAAAAGTTATTTAATTATCAAATAAAAATAGTCATATAAAAAATAACTTGATACACAAATAAAATTTTATTTGTTTTTTAAATTTATTTATTTTATTTATAACATATAAAAACATGCCAAAAAAAATTAAATAGTAAATAAGATACATACCTGCTTCAATTAAACTGCTTGCAGTGCTACTTTTAACTTTATTTGATTTTAAAAGTCATGCTTTACATCTTGTTAAAAAAATTTTAGTAAATTTTATTGTGTTCTTTTGTTTTTCTCATAACAATATTTCTTGCAAAAATCAATCATTAAAAAAATTAAAATTGCTACTTTAAAAACTATTCAAACAAATCAAAATATATTTATATATATGCAGGAGTTTTGATAAAAAGCTCCAAGACACTTTCCCTATAAAAAAAGATTGTAAGCTGTAAAAGTTTGATAGTCGTTTCAGCATCCAAAACCTTTTAATCAGCTGTTAGTGTAGCAAGGCAATGGCAATTATTCGTACAAGATTTATCTATCACATTAAGTTGCCTTATTATATTTTTAGAATATTTTATTCAAAACAGAATTTTTGTAAAAATTGTGTTCTAGAATAAATAACGTTTTTGCTGAAACTCCAACCTGACTACTAATATCAACCAAACCTAACAACTTTATTGCTTTAATTGTATCAGTAGGAATTAAAACAGGAACTGAACAACAAAACCCTCTTCCAGACTGATAATTAATCTTCATTCTACATTCTAATTGATTTTCAGATAATGCATTTTTTTATTCTTTGTTCATTTAATCATACATTTTTCAAGGCATTTTCATGTTCTTTACTTGTAAGTCTTGCAGGTATGCCAACTTTCCTACCATAAAATATAGGTAACTTGATACAATCATAGTTTCTTAATTTAATAAAGGAACGTGAATCAGTTATTTCCTATTTCCTAGTTAGTCTTGTTTTCTATTTACTAGTAAGTAGTCATGCATTCTCCTAACTAAACCATTGTAGATCACAAATATAAGAGGGTTTTATCCACTACAATATGGCGAACAAAACCATCTTGTCAACTGTTAAATAACTAATAATAACTATCTTATAGTATATAGATCTAATTACTATACTAATGTGTCTAATAACTAATTATAAGACACTTGTATATTACTAGTAATTACTAGTTATTAAACATTAGTTATAGATAGTATTAATCTGTATGATACTGGCGTTATAGTTTAGGCAGGAATAACTATAAAGAGTTTAAGACTGTTAACAGTCAAAAACTCTTTATAGTTATTCCTGCCCAATCTATAATACCTGTACCATACAGATTAATACTGCTAGTAATACTAGCAGTACTAATCTGAATGCTTATTAGAAGTCAAATACACTAGTAGTATATTAGACTTCTAATAGGTTGTCTAGTTTTACTATATAGCAATAATATTTCCTTAATAAAAGCACCTAAATATTTCAAAATATAGAAAAAGGTTTTAAAATAAGATTCTTAAAATTAGTGTAAAAAATAAAAAGGTCCAGCTACAACATAAGCAAACAATATAAACATACACAATTTTCAAAATAAAGAAATCAAAACAAAAACATTCATAAAAAACAACAAGTTTTCGGGAAAAGCGACTCCGCATGGTAAGGAAATTCGAGAAAAATGGAAATGACTTAAAGTAAAACTGTATATCTCCTATATTTCATATATATGTTGTACTTGCAATGATATTTGTTAATAAACTCTCAAAATTTAACTGAGTGACAGAGAAAACTTTTTTAACTCCATAATAACATGATATATACAGTTGAACTTCATAATTTTCAAGATATTAAGTGCCGTCGACCTTACGTCGATATTTTAAATTTGTTTACATATATAAGCTTAAAATGAGATATTTAAAAAAATACTCATCGACGGCAATTAAAAAAAAGTAAATTTGAAAAATGTTAGGTCGACTCGATTTTGTCGACTTTCCACTTAAGTTGACTTTCCGTTGAAATTTTTCACACGATTTGTCGACTTTAAGGCGATCTAGTTATATATATATATATATATATATATATATATATATATATATATATATATATATATATATATATATATATATATATATATATATATATATATATATATATATATATATATATATATATATATATATATATATATGTGTGTGTGTGTGTGCTCTGTATATATATATATATATATATATATGCTGTGCTCTATCTATGAATGAGTCAAGTTCTCATTAAACCCAAATCATGACCAAAGTAACCAAAAATTTAAAACCTAAAAAACCATCCCCACCACCTAAATATTTTAATATATCTTTTACAAATATTCGCGGTCTACGAAGCAACTTTCCATCAGTTGAGTCTTACCTCCTGCTAAATTCACCAGACTTGCTTGCACTCAGTGAAACAAATTTGAGTTCTGCAATTCCTTTTTCAGATGTCAGTGTTGATGGGTACTATCCTTTGATTCGTAAAGACTCCAATAGTCACATGCTAGGTTTAGGGGTATACATACGCATTAATTCCAAAGGAATTAATGCGTATTCGAAATCAGGTTCGAATCCTTTGACCATTCTTTTATGTGCTTTCGCCTAGCACCTCTTCACTCTATCACCTTTCTCTTTGTTCTTTATCGTTCTCCTTCTTCCCATGATTGCACTCTTTTAGATGTTATCTCTGATCAAATTGACCATGCCCTCTCTCTTTACCCCTCTGCCAATATTGTTGTTGTTGGTGATTTTAATGCCCATCACACTGAATGGCTTGGCTCTAACACCACTGATCCTGCTGGCACTAAAGTCTTTAACTTCTGCGTTTCTCAATCTCTTACTCAGATAGTTAACTTTGTGACTCGTTTTCCTGACAACCCTAATCATTTACCTTCACTCCTTGACTTATGTCTTGTCTCTGACCCTAGCTTATGTTCAGTTTCTCCCTTTTCTCCCTTAGGTGGTTCTGACCATGCAATGATCTCTATAAATCTTTCTTCTCGTACTTCTTTTTTGGGCTCACCTTATCATCGCACCACCTACTACTACCCTAAAGCTGACTGGGATTCCTTTCGTGATTTTCTTTGTGATGGTCCTTGGGCTCATGTTTTTTCTCTCTCAGCTGACAAATGCGCCTCCTCTGTAACCTCCTGGATTCAGGCTGGAATGGAAGCTTTAATTCCTTCTCGTCGGTTTCAAGTCAAGCCTCACTCTACTCCATGGTTTTCTCCTTCTTGTGCGGCTGCTATATCCAATCGTAACCATTTTTTTCATCTTTTTCAAAAGAACAACTCTCTTGAGAACAAACGGCTATTTATTATTGCAAGAAATCGATGTAAAAAGGTGCTTTCTGATGCTAAACTCCATTATTCTCAGTTCACTAAATCTCGCATCTTATCGCAGAAGTTAGGCTCTAAAGACTTTTGGAAAATCTTCAACAGCATTGTTAACAAGGGTAGATCTAACATTCCATCTCTCATTCATGGGACTGATCTTGTTACCTCTCCCAGGGATAAGGCAGAACTGTTTGCAAAGAACTTTTCTTTTAATTCCACTCTTGAATCTTATGGACATTCTCTTCCTTCCATTCCAGTCAAACAGGTTGACCCATTGTTAGACATTCAAATCACTCCGGCTTCTGTTGCTAAAGTCATATCTCAATTAAACTCGTCTACAGCTTGTGGTCCAGACAACATTCCTGTCACAGTCTTGCAGAATTGTTCTCCAGAACTTTCTTTAATTCTCTCTAAACTATTTAACAAGTGTTTGACTGAGTCTTGTTTTCCTGCTTGTTGGAAAATGGCATCTGTGGTTCCAATATTCAAAAACTCTGGAGAAAATTCTGACCCCTCCAATTATCGTCCGATCAGTCTTCATTCTGTTATTAGCATGGTCTTTGAGTCTTTAATCAACAAATTCCTCACATCTCATCTTGAGTCAAATAAACTGCTGTCAGACAATCAATACGGTTTTCGATCCTCTCGCTCTACGGCCGACTTGCTAACTGCTGTAACTGAAAGATTTTATCGTGCATTAGATGGAGGCGGTGAGGCTAGGGCTATTGCTCTCGACATATCTAAAGCTTTCGACAAAGTTTGGCATGCTGGTCTTCTCCATAAGCTTGCTTCATATGGTGTTTCTGGGAAAGTTTTTGAGATAATCAAATCATTTCTTTCTGACCGGTTTATTAAAGTCATCCTTGAAGGCCAACACTCTTCTTTATTTCCAGTAACTTCTGGGGTTCCCCAAGGTTCCATTCTGGGCCCTGTTTTGTTTCTTATCTACATAAACGATCTTCCTGACAACCTTTCATCTAAAGTAGCTCTTTTTGCTGATGACTCAACTTTATACTCCTGTCTTGACAAAAAGTCTTCTCTTTTCGATCGCCTAGAACAAGCAGCTGATCTTGAATCTGATCTCACTTCAGTAATAGATTGGGGTTCACAGTGGCTTGTGAATTTCAACTCTAAAAAAACCCAATTGCTTACTGCAAACAACTACCGTAATATGGTCAACATTCCTATATTAATGAATGGCAATCCTCTTACTGAGTCGTCCTCTTTACGTCTTCTTGGATTATCGCTTACTACTGACCTTTCATGGAAACCATATATACAATCGATTGCTAAATTAGCTTCTGCTAAGGTTGCTTCTCTTTATCGTGCTCGCCATTTCCTTACTTCTGATTCCATTCTCTACCTCTACAAATCTCTTATTCGTCCCTGTATGGAATACTGTTGTCATATTTGGGCTGGTTCTTCTAACGATTCACTTTCTCTTCTTGACAAGGTCCAAAAACGCATTGTAAATGTTGTTGGACCTGGACTATCCTGCTAAGCTTGAACCTCTTTCCCATCGTCGTAAAGTTGCATTTCTTTCTCTTTTCTACAGATACTATCATGGTCACTGCTCAAAGGAGTTATCATCTCTAGTTCCATCAACTAAAATTCATTCTCGTTTTACTCGTCATTCAGCTAAGTCTCATTCGTTTTCTGTATCTGTCCCTGCATACTCTAAAAACTTTTATTCATCTAGTTTTTTTCCCCGCACTTCAATCCTTTGGAACTCTCTCCCATCTTCATGTTTTCCTGACTCATACAACCTTCAATTTTTTAAGTCTTCTGTCAACCGTTTCCTTGCTCTATAACTCTGTTCTTTTTTTTTCCTAGTAACTCCCAACTTAATAGTGGTTGCTTGCAGCCTTGTTGGGAGTGAATGCAAATAAAAAAAAAAATATATATATATATATATATATATATATATATATATATATATATATATATATATATATATATATATATATATATATATATATATATTATATTTCTATACGATATTTTATATTCTTCTAAAATTCATAATCGTATAGCAATATAATATATATTATATTCTTATATAAAATATCGTATAGGAATATTATATATATATATATATTTATATATATATATATATATATATATATATATATATATATATATATATATATATATATATATTTCTTCAAAAATTTTTATTATAGAGTTTTGTGCAATTGCCAGAAGAAAACAACGGTAAAACAATGTTTAAACTATGAGGATTATAAACTTGTAAATATACGTGTAAATAAATTGTTATTTTTGAAAACAGTTTTTTTTAAATCTTTTTTTCTTTAAGTATTTCAAAATTATGTTATTTTTAATAACCGTTCGGTAAAAAAATTTCTCCAAATATACTATTATATTTATTTAGCGTTAAATATACAGTATTATCTAACTGTACATCCAAAACTAGTTCATTGTTATTGCTGCAGTATGAAAAATGAACTCAGTTTTAATTTATCAAGTTTGTGATAGTTAAGTAGAAAAGCTTATTAAAAAACAAATAGCGTGTTTTTATTATGTACGTTTTGTTGTTATTCACACATTATTCGTTGTTACTTACATTTATTGCCATTCACCCTTTTAATTTTTCTTTTAATACTTATTTTGATCTGTTATACATTAAGCAGTTCGTGCCTAGGCTCAGTGGTCTAAGTCGAGGTGTAGACCGAGGTGGCTCCCGTAGATGGAGTTAAACTACACCTATTCTTGGCTTTTGTGTCCTTACTAATGATGCATATATAGCCAGAGCGGCTTCGAAACGCGGGTTTCTAGTTCTGAAGCCAGAACTCTAAACACAGCACTACGGCTGCTTAGGAGTTATCCATACATTACGTACGCAAAATTCTTCAGATCTAGACCCTCTCCCCTTCCCCTTGTTGCACCTCGTACATTTTTATCCTCTTCCTACTCCCCCCTCCCCCACCCATCATGCGTATGTACGCTTAGGGGGTGGGGGAGTTTGATTTAATTCTTTTCGTTTGCATTTTTTTTTTCTTACGAAGTGGAGGTGAAACATCCCCAGTGATTAATGTGATGTGATAAAACCATTAATGATGACACCATCACTAGACACAGGTGATGGTTTCATCGGTGTGAAGAAGTCTTTCATTTTAACAGAAGGATTAACCCTTTACTACTGACTTGAGCTTTTAAATTTTTTTGATTTTCTTTTCGTTTTGTTTTAACAAATACCTTGAAATTTGTTTTAAAAGTGCATCAATAGCAAAGGCTATTTAATGTCCATTAAAGTTAAACCCATTAAAGTTCGGATTATGATAAAGATGTCATATTTAATAAGTTTAGTTTTTTGTGTTGTATTTATCAATAGTAGTTTCTTAAATTTTCTCAAGATAGGTTATTTTGCTAAGTTAGGTTAGGTTGCTATGTTAGGCCAAGATAGGTTATTTTACTAAGCAGGTTATTTTGTAATCTTTTTGAATGGTTGAAGAGTATGATTTTATACATAACTCTTGTTAAATAGGAACTGTCAACAAATAATGCGTGTCACAAATGAAATAAATAAATACATACATAAAAAAAAAAAAAAAAAAAGACGCACACAGCTCAGTTAACGTATTTAATGAAGCAGGTAGGAAGCTAAAGTTAAATATGTCGGTGACGCATAACTTAAAATCTAGAAAATTTACAAATGATTGTGAATTTTATTGTTAGTGTTTACATACCTAACTGGTTTAACATTAAAATGAAATTAAATTGAATAGAGGGACCTAGACATGTTTTGTATCAGCTAGAGCTACAGAATAAAAATGTTTTAGATATTTTTTGCCAACAATTAGGCGATCAACGTGGTATGTACATTCTGAAGCCATTTTACAAGCCATGCTTTGCAGCAAAAATAGGGATTTTTCGATTCCTGTTCCGGTTTCGGTATTATTTAAGATTTCGGTTGCTGCCGGAATTTTGGTTTAAAATGCTACCGAAAATGGATGTTTTTGTTTTGTTTTGTTTTTTAGGTGGCCCCCCAAAAAATTCTAACGATCTCAGAGAACCGCGAAAGTGCATTAAAGTAGGAAGTTCTAGCCTCCTTCCTTACCGTGACGCAAAACTGTCCAGAGTTCGTTTCGAACCTGGATCTCCTGCATTTATAGCAAGCGCTCTAACTACGTGTCATGGCCGCACAAATATTAATGCTTTCTCGAGCATTAATATTTTGATAAAATAATTTTTGAAAAAATTTTATAAATTAAATAATAAGCTTGAGAATAAACGGAAATTTTTTTGCTTTATTTTAAAAACCAAATAATTTTCTTGTTTAAATTAATATTCATATCCTGTAAAGTTTTTTAGCGTTATTATTTGAAAAATAATATTGTTGTTGTGAATATAACTTTTATATAAATTGATATATATTAAATATTACAATTAATTAAAAAAATCCAACTTTTATTCTAATTTAATATAGTTTATAAAGTGTTTAACTATCTGCTGCTTCTCTTCAATCAACTCTTTTTTAAGTTTAGTGCTACAGTTTTTAATTGCATTCACGCGAGAATTTCCTTTGGAAAACAATGTCAAATTGGACAACTACTTCAATTGGGCAACAATTTTAACACTATAATTTCCTTAAGAGAATTATAGTATTAAAATAGTTAATATTTGTCTAAAGAGAGTATACTGTTAATTATTGTTCAAAGAGAATTTTTGTTTAGCAATCATTACAATAAATATTGGAAATAAAAATTACTATTTGACGCAAACCAGCAACATTGGAAAACTGTAATATATTTCACTCTAACAAAATGAATTCAAAAAGAAAAACAAGTTTAGAATGGAAATACTTTATCATTGAAGCAAACAGTCCGAGAATAGCTCAGTGAAAAATACGCAACAGCAAAGTTCCAGAAGAATCAGACGACCTCAAAAAACAAAAACTATATGAACTAACCTCTCAACTAAAGAGTCCTCATCCTGGTATCAAACTTACGCCAGAAAATTCAGAAAAACCAAAAGCCAACAAAGAAGCTGAATTGTAATTGAATAAGAGAATGACAGTTCCAATCTTCAATATACAATGAAAAAACTAAGACTTGACATTTTAAAATCTACAATTCTAAAATGGGTTCAAGCTTCTTCAAAAATTAACTCTAATTCTGAAAAAAGCCAAAGTTTCACAAGTCAATACTTGAAATGATGATTCTTGACCTCCAACCGTGGTCTATTGTCAATGATGTAGGGTTTTTGAGGCACCATGTTCTTGTTGCTCCTCATTACGAAATTGTTAGTGAAAAATACAACAGAGGGTTACTAGATCCAATTAATGAAAAAATAAAATTTGCTCTCAAGAAAAAGTTGGTTCAATTAGTAGCTGAAAGTATGTCACTCTGTCTTGATGCATGGTCTTCATTTCATCATGGCTACCTGCGGATGACATGTCACTTTATTTCTAAAGATTTCAACTATGTCAAATTCTGCATCTCTTGTTATCAATTTGATAAAAAGCATACCGCAAAAAACATTTTCAACAAGATCGAAACAACAGCAGAGGAGTGGTAAATTTCTTCAAAAATTAAAATTTGCTTAAGAGACAATGCAGCAAATGTAAATGAACGTGTTTAAGGCATAAATTGAGTGGTCAAGGCATCCACTTCCTTAATTTAAGGCATCCACTTCCTTAACCACTTTCTTCATTTGTCATCAAAAAAGAATTATTTTCACATCCAGTCATAGACGGACTGGTTGCAAAGAGTCGAAAACTCTGTTCCTACGCATCTTATTCTACTGCTTTCTACACTGAACTTTACAGACAGCAAAAAATCCAAATGGACACAAAAGTCAGACTTGGCCTAAAAGGCGATGTTGCTACAAGATGGTACTCTACCTATTATATGCTTGAGCTAACTTTACACCTGAAGTCAGCCATTGCTGCCACCTTAATCAAATTTCCATCAGTATGAATAGAATTTTCTGTCCAAGATTGGGCTTTCTGTGAAAAAGTGGTGAACATTTTAAAGGGTTTTTAAGGAAGCAACCAAATTTTGTCAGGTGTTAACTCTTGCATCTGTTCCTGTATTTCAATTGTGACAACAATAGTTAAAGCTTTGGAAACAACCTCGAGCGATATAAGTGTTGAGGAGTTAAAAATTGTCATGAAAAATGCAATAAAAAATCGTTTTTCAACAATTGGAAAAGTAGAACATTATTTAATTGTTACTCTACTTGATCCAAAATACAAATGGTATTTTTTCGGATCTCAAGGTGCTTTGCAAAATGCTAAACACGTTGCCATGTCCCAAATGGACAATTTTGAACCTTTAGATGAATTGGCTACTGCAACTCAAAATCTATCTGATGACAATAAAAAAAACGTATCGTTTATTTATAAAATGTCAAAAATTATTGCGCAACCTCAAACTCAGATAGGACCTAATGCACATTCATCTTCCAAAATGATAAAAGAAGCATTAAATGATTTTTTGGATAGTCCAATGGCTTCTCAATGCCTTGATTTTTGGAAAAGCTATGAAAAAAAATGCAAATTCTTAAATCAACTTAGCGTTGACTAAGGTGCCTACAAAGTACCTCACATCACTTCCAACATCTACGGCCGGAGATATTTCTCTAATGAAAGAAACAGAATTCATACAGAAAATTTAGAAAAACGTTTTTGTCGAGAAAATCTTCCAGTTGTTGGATTCTGTTATTATTTTTGTTTTGTTTAAATTAAAACTAACTAAAACTACAATCTGTTTTAAAAACAATAAAAAAGTGAATATTACAAACTGTTATAAATAAAATTTAACTATTTATCTAATTAATTACACGTACATTTAAAAAGTTAATTTCAATGTTCTGCTTCTTTTATGACTATCATTTAATGTTCTTTTTCATTTATGACCATATTATGACCTAAAGTTAATACCGTAAAAAAATAATTAAAATCAAAACTTCAAATTCATGCAAGTACCTAACTATAATTTTTTTCATTAGTCTAAACATAAGTCCAAAATCATGTCTGGAAAACCAACGAGAGACAGAGATGTAGGAAGAACATGGGAATCTAATGCATCAAAAAGATAAAGAAAGACTGAAACAGAGAAATCAAACCAAGCTATGAGTTGCAGTATAATGAAACTTCTCAAGAAACCTCTTTTAACTATTACTGCTCCAAAGTCCTCTGATGAATATCTCTGCTAAGTTTCTTGGGCTTCTGAAACAGAACTAGCTTCAGAGTCGAATGTACCAGGTGTGACCCAAAAGTTTGAAAGCAATAAAGATTTGGCAAGTGATAAAATTTGTGACTCATTAAATCAAGAGCAAGCAATTTATTTGAACAATTCAATTATAAACTTAGTGTAGGAAAATGGACATTATTAATAACCGACTCTCAGCGTTATGACTTAATTTAAAACAGTCCCCATCAAAATATAAAGAAATCTGATGAAAGTTACCCCAAAGACGCAAAAAAGAGACATTTTTCTAAATTTCATTTTACGCGAAAACTGAATAACGGTGAAACTCAATACCGCAGATATTTTTCCTTGCCAAGAGATATATATTTATTCCTTTCTTTGTAAACTTTTTTTGCATACACAGATTCAGATGGTGAAAGAAAGATGTTGTGACTAGAAAGATCTGAGTCGCATATTGTATTGACATGAAAAAAAGCAAGGACATATGGAGTGCATGATTAAATGGGTAGAATTTTATAAAAGAATCAAAAACGGAAAAACAATAGATGAGAATATCAAGGAATTGATTAGAAAATCTCAAAAATATTGATATAATTTGTTTGAAAGATTGATTGATATAACAAACTTTTAAGCCTTGCACAATCTGGCATTTAAGGTCATTGTGAATCACTTTTCCTAGACAATAGTAGAAATTGTGATAATTTTATAGACTTATTTAAGTTGTTATCCAAATATGATCTCATGCTAAAAGACCACTTGCAACGAATTAATGAAAAACAAATTGCTCAAAATTATTTGAGCCACGACATTTAAAATGAATTAATTACATTGATGTCTGAAACAGTTATTGATGAAATTATACACAGAGTTTCACAAGCAAAATACTATGCCTTTTGCTTGATTGCACCAGAGATGCAAGTTGTATTGAATGTTAATAATATTAAGATTTAGCAATTTATCAACTGGAGCGATAAAGGATCATTTTGTTGGTTTTATTGCCGTTACGGAAACTACAAGAGAGTATTTAGTGAACTCCATATTACAAGAACTAGAGAGAAATAGTCTGGATATAAAAAATTATTGAGGACAGGGATATGATAATGGCACCAATATGGTAGGAATTAATAAAGATGTCAGAACAAGAATACTCAACATTAATCTAAAAGCATTCTTCACACCGTGCAGATGTCATAACTGGAATTTACTTTTAATAGATGCAACTAATTCTTCTACAACAGCTAAAACATTTTTCGGCTTATTAATAAAATCTATGTACTCTTTTCGAAGTCAAGCAAGCGTTGGGAACTTATAAAAACTAAAGTGAAACTAACAGTAAAACCTCTTTCAGAGACACGGTGTCATTCAGAGACACGGTGTCATTCAGAGACACGGTGTCATTCAGAGACACGGTGTCATTCAGAGACACGGTGTCATTCAGAGACACGGTGTCATTCAGAGACACGGTGTCATTCAGAGACACGGTGGTAAAGTAGAATAAGAGCAGTAAAAGCTATACTGTTGCAATTTTATAATGTTATTGAATATGTGAATGACTTGAAAAATAAAACGGACGATTACGAAACTCTAAGCGACTGTTAAGCAGCTTTGAACGAAATGTCAACTTTCGAATTTATTGATGTTATACACTTGTGGTATGAGATTACATGTAAATAATATAAGTAAACTATGGAAAACGATTCCAGTAAAATTAAAAGTCGTTGTTGATACTTTACGTTCATTTTAATCTTGGATTCAAGAATTCCGTGATACTGGATTTGAGAAAGGCTTTGCAGATGCTCAATTGTTTGTGGAAAAAAACGCTTACGAAACCGAGCCACAATTTAAAGAAAAAAGAATAACACAAAAAAAAAATGTTAATAACACATGGATGAACCTATACAATGTGCTGAAACACAGTACAAAGTAAATTTTTCCAACACAATGATAGACGCAGTCATAGTCGACATTGAATGTCGATTCAAAGTGTTTAATGAAGATTTTGATCGTTTTGGTTTTATTTACGATATCAATTAAAATTACAATATTGTTTGAAATTTTTGCCAAGAGAGGACCTGCTCAAGCATTGTAGTAATTTAGGTACAATATTTTGGGAAGGTAAAAATAGCGACATAGATTCTTTCGAACTTTATGAAGAACTGCAAACTTTAAAATCCACTTTACTAGAAAATATAAACAATGCAAAGCAAATTATACAGTACATTTTAAATAACAATTTTGAAGAAATATATCCAAATCTTTAATAGCAATCAAGATCATGCTTACAATTCCAGTTAGTACAGCTTCAGCTGAGAGAAACTTCTCAAAGTTAAAACTAATTAAGACCTACTTAAGAAGCACAATGAGCAAAGAAAGACTATCTGTTTTATCCATTTTGTCCATTGAAGTTGAAATAGCAGCAGGTGTTAGTTATGACACAATTTTAAAAAGATTCAGCGAGGCTAAAAGCCGAAAAGTTTGTCTTTTTTAATTTTTGTTTGTTCGTGTAGTTATTGTTATTAACTCATATCATAATTAACAATAAAACTTATATGCTTCTCCTACATTTTTCAATCTAAATTTTTAAACTTATAAAGAAACCTAATATTTAAATATTATGAATAAATAATTGTGAATACCTATATCAAAGTTAGGCGTAAAATAAATATGTTTAAAATAATTAACAATAACAGCTCTGACTTGCGTTTACAACTTTCAATAAAATATAGTGCTCGATAAAAGTTCCAGCCCCGAGATTCGGCCAAATCAAGGTTTGTTTTAATTAGTTGTTTTTTTTATATATATAAAAAGACCTCGCAAAGCTAGTTTCGCCGACGTCCACGGTTTGCTTAGCGCCGCTGCTGAGGAAAGACAATTACTTTGTTTTGTGACTGAGAACATAATTTATACAGTTTAATTTTTTTTAATTTCTAAATAAAGGCATTTCACTGTAGTGTTAAAATAACGGCATCTTATTTTTAGACCCTGGTCTGCGACTATTAGAGCAGATGTGATTTATACAAGTTTTTCCAAGAGCTCAATCAAGATTTAAATTACCATTATTTAGGTAAATGATATTCAGAGATGTAGAGTATTTTATCAAGTACTTGTACACGCAAAGTTAAAAAAAGTTAAAAAACACCATATCAAGAATGATCTTTTGGATCTACCATATTATGAATATATCCAAAATGTAAGACAACAAAATAATAAAAATGATAAAAAATTGAAAAACGGAATTTTATTTTATATAAGTTTATTTTTATGTCATAGTATTTATGTTACTAATTTCTTTTTTATGTCACATACATATTTAAATTATAAATATTATTTTTATGTCAATTACAGATTTAAAATATAAATATAAATTTAACAGCTGACACTAACATAATTCATTAAGATTTTACACAACCATCGCATTTTATTATAAATAACCAAATGAATATTTTAAAGACTTAAGTTTTTAGAGTATTTATTTGATAGTTTATAATAAAAGTCACTTGCTAATATTAAAAAAAAGTAATAATTTCTTTGCTAACTTACTAAAGAATGCAAAAAAGTTCTTTCTTTAGTGTAATAACAGGCAAATTGAAATGTAATAAAGAAAAGCGGATAATTACTATTTTAATCGTCTGCAACTTTTACGTATTGTTACATAAAAATATTTCCAAGAACACACTCAGCTAATAAATAATACTTCGTTGAAAGTTTGTTAATTTTAACGGAGTCGTTTTTAGAGTTTATTGTTAAAAATCGTCGTTATTGATTTGAGATTTCTTTTTCATTTATATAAAGAATATCTGGAGGTCTTCCTTTGATACTGAATTTTTTCCTTTTTTTCCTATTGATCTGAGGACAACGGCCTTGTACGCCTCTATATCTTTTATAGATGGATTCTGTATAAATAAAACAATTTAATGTAAGCAAAAATAAAAACAAGTTATTATCACTTTAACATCATTTTTATTACTGTTAAAGAATGAAAAGAAAAAGGATAAAGTGAAAAAAAACAAAGACCTAATACACTTAATTTGTTATCAATAAAACTTATATAAATACTTTAATTGCATCTATCTTTTCCATTAAATTAAAGATAAACCCAAGAAGTTCATAGTTATCAAGACGTCCAGTTCCACTCTAAAAATACAAATTAAAAAAAGAGTCAATTATCATGACATTAAATTTCCAACTTAAGAGAACTTTTTGGAAATAAAATTTTCCAACTTGAGGGAACTATAGAACTAAAACTGCGCAAATGAATTTGTAATATATTTGCACAAATAAATTTTTAATATATTGGCACAAATAAATTTTTAATATATTAGCACAAATAGATTTTTAAAGTTTTTATTTCTCGCTCAAAACATTTTTTTTTAATTTCATTAATCCTATGAAGAAAAATTCTGATTCAAATTAAAGGAATCAAAATTTGTAAACAATTTTTTATCACGCACAAAGGTTGTTTTTTTTAAACATATTAGCTTCTATAAAAATTGCAAGCAACAATTATTTAAGTTGAGATTTATTAGCTTCCAAGAAGGCTGCCAGCAACAATTATTTAAGATAAGAGTTATTAGCTTCTAAGAAGCAGTAAGCAGCAATTATTTAAATAAGAGTTATTAGAAAGTAAACTTTTAAGCTGAGAATGTAAAAAGCGCAAGAAAAGACAAAAAATTTTAAAACTGTGAATTTTTCGAGTTCAGAAAACATTGAAGACGGGAGAGAATTTCAACGCATAATTATTGAAAGAAAAACTAAATAAATAAAAGTTTTTGAGTATAAAACTTCTAGTAAAAGGATGCAGCTTTGTTGAATGAGTCGCACAAAGTTGGGCTTTGGTTGATGGAAAGGACAATAACTTGCATGAGCACCAATTGTGGTAACACTTGTAAGAAAGAGAAAGAAATTCAACTTTGCAATAGAAGGCTCAAGCATGAAACCTCGACCAACTTTATTTACAATACTTTTTGGGACTTTTTTAAAAAGATAGTGAATTACATTTAAAGAACCAGTCTAAAGTGTTTGAGCGAACTACTTTAATCCGTAAAAAAATTGTATCAATTTAGAATTTGGTATAGAGAAAGAAACCTTTGTACAAGCATTAAAAAAATCCTTTTGATTTCACTTTAGGAAATTCTTTTTTAAGAAAACTTTTTGGGTGAAAATTTTTAATTTTTCGGGGAGAAAATGGTTAATTCTGTTCAGGGCCGCCGAGAGTTGTCACGCTGTCTGGGACAGCAACCCTGATTGGCGCCGTTATTTATCAAATTTTACCTACATTATATGTGAGGGACCTTCTTTTTTATTTTATTTAGGTACCTATAATTCATATAGCGCCCCTTGGATATCTGTCGCCCGGGACAAACTGTCCCTCGCAACCCCCACCCTCTCGGCGGCACTGATTCTGTTTAAAATCTCAAAATCTAAATTTTCATAGACTATATATGGTTGAATAAAAAATTGTTGCATGCTAGTGTTTTATTAAAAGCTTTAACTTGCAAAGTTTTTCGAGACTCAGAAATAATTTTAAAAAGTTTAAAAACATTTTAATATTATTAATAAACATCATAAATAAGCTAACAGAGATAAAAATATAACTTTTCCGTGCTGAGGATTGAAATAAACACCTTTTTTCTTTCTACAATGGCTGTCTATTTAAAAGAAGTGTTAAATTGACACAACAACTAGTCTTTTGTTCGGTTTTATATTTTTGGTCAAAACATCAAAAGAAAAAATTATTTACTTTATGCTTTGCTTCATTAAAAGCTGTTAAGACAAGTTTGTAGAGAAGCCTCTATACTTTCAGTCTTGTCACAGTTTACAAGATTTTCATCATTGATAATAGACAATGAATGTAAATTTCTATTATCTCCGTACTGAACGGATTTCTTACAGCAATTTAATACCCGTTTCTAAACTGTTTATCATAACTCCGATGTCAAATCCAGATATGCATTGCTTGACAAACAGTTGCAAAATAAAAGATGCTCTTTGTCCATTGTTTACATACACTTTCATCAAATCCTCTACTTCTAGCTAAACCATATTTTTAAGACTAGTTCAATACATTACAGATTGATAGACTGCGTGATGACCACCTAAAATTTGTTGGTGCGCTCACGGATTTTTTTCCTAAATATTTAGCATTTATTGAACTATTTATTTTAGAGCACTTGTAACAGCTTAAAAATCTAGCATACAAGTTTAGTACTTTTATGATTATTTGAAGATGGAAGTTACTGTTACAGTTTCTCTAATAAAAATTTAACTAAAAACTAAATATTCTTTTTTAATCCCAATATAGCAGGGGTTAAAGAAGAATAGGAAATCATGTAGAATAGTTAAAAAATTCAAAGTGTGCGTTCAAAGTGATGCAGAATAGCCTCTTTTCTTCTTAAGTAAGGTTATTCATGTTTTTAATGAGTAAATAAGAAATAAATTGCTTATTCACTTTATTGACTTTATTTATCATTATTCACTTTATTGACTTTATTTATCATTATTCACACTATTGACTTTATTTATCATTATTCACTTTATTGACTTTATTCATCATTATTCACTTTTAAAGCATTGAATAAGCATTATTCAAGTTTTGAATGAGTGTTTTTTTAGGTGCATTTTTGCTGTATTTTGAGGTCTTGAGTGATGACTTAGTCATCACCCAAGACCTTATATATAATATATAATATATATACGATATAAATATATATTATATATAATATATATATGATATAAATAGTATTTTTAGTCAGACTAAAAATACTATTTATATCTACTCTTATTTAGTTATATCAAGTGCTTAAATTAAATGCTTGTATTAGGGAAAAATATTTTGAAATAAGTTACATAAACATAAACGTAGTAACATAAACAAGAATTAACTATGTTCAAGATTAAACTAGTATTGAGTACAAGAGCAGATATCAAAATGTTATGAATATTTTAAAACACTATAGTATTTTTCAAAATGATTTTATTCCAGTTAATTTATTTTCCATTTTACGTAGTCCTTTCTTGCAATCATCTGTTTGTGGACCAACATTCACTCATTCTTTTGCATACTACTTTGGTTAGAATTCTTTTAGTGGAGAACCTTCAATGCTAATGAAAACCAATTATTTAATTCATATTCAATTTATGTTTTTTTCTGAAAATAGGCTTCATACATCTGTACAAATGATATTTATAATTGAAAACCTCCTTTCATATTCTGCATTGCTCACAGGTATGATTATTGTTAAAGAATACAGACGCTTTAACTATGGCAATCTGAGTCCAATGTTTGGAAAATATGATCAAAAGAAGCGGATGTATATTCTTGACCATTAAAACGATCCTTTCAGAAAAGATCCTGTAAGAAAGTCACGAAACTCCTATTTCGTTAAAGGAAAATCATCAAGCAGAAAGTTGCATAATTCTTTCAGCAGAGTTTCTGAAAAATCTTGTAAAATTTGTGTTTCATTTTGAACATATCTTAGCTATGAATATGGTTCAAACCATTGCACTGATAGGGTTAAGATTTTTGATTAGGGTTATGCTTTTCATCAGCAGATTCTATGCGTGACATAAAACTTATTATTCGCTTCTAATGAAAAATGGCCTGATAAACTAAAGATTGATTTTTTCTTTTTGATATATTAACATCTTGGGAAATTCTATTTTCAACTGTCAATTTGACTTCAGAAACCTTGAGACCTCCTCTAAATTTTCTCCTTTCAAAGATAGATATAAGAAAAGAGAAAACGTGAATTGAGTGTAAATTTTTTTAATTGTAGAACTTCTGAAGTTGATTTTATTTCTTCTAATGCATCAAACATTAATGCCAGCTTTTTAAAAAAATAACACACAAGTTTCTGTCACAGGATTTTAAATTCAGCTTTTTCATTTAGTCTCGTGATTGAAGGATTTATGTGATTTTTTATGATTTTTTTCTATTATTTTAAATTTTTTTGAGTTCCATGAAAAAACCTATCTTAGGAAACTGGTTTCCTAAGATGAAACGATTAGGTTTGTTGAAGAAAACGCAATTTTTGGTATAAAGATTTTTTTAAATGAGTTATTCACTTATATTCTTTAACAGAAAATTATCATTATTTTAAAAATATATATCTTGTTGTAATCTTTTGGAAGCAAAATACACTGAAAACATGTTCAGCTTACGCAACCTTGTTCTACATAGTTATAATTTGCTGGAAACCAAAGGTGTGAATCGGTGGAAAGGTGTGAATCGGTGGAAAGGTAAGAATCGGTGCCTTAAAAGAAGTTTTATTTGTAAAAACTTGTTTGGTTTAGTTTATAAATCAAATAAAAAAGATATGGCAATTATGTTTATTATTTTAGATTACTTTAGGCATGATTTATTTCTGCTAATTAATCCAAAGTTGAAACTTTGGGCTCATTATGTTGCTTCGACAATGCACACCACAAGCATTAGCAGGAGCATCATCCATGCGCAACATGGCACTGTTAATACACTAATATTTTACAACTTTTGATGAAATCAGCCTCTCTAAGAGCTACCACAGAGTTAAGGAAATCTTACTACCAGCTGGTCTCAGAACCATTAAACTGAGTTTAAGAGCAGTGTCTTTATTAGAAGATGACAGATAGAGTTGCATAGCTATTATCATGGACGTACAAGCAAAAATCTGTGAATGGAGTCAAGAAGACCCAATTTATTATTCTTGGTAGGAAACAATGTAACACAGATTTACGACTATGTTAGCCTAATAGATGAAGTAGGTGTTTGAGGCTAGTCAAAGTTGGACACCATCTTCCACCTTTACTCAACCAGGAGCCCCTAAGCAGACTCTTGTTATTTTGTGTAAATTACAATAATAACTTAACAATTGCTGTAAAGAACAACTGATGCTTTAATAAACTTTATTTTACTTAATTTTTTATAAATTATGCAAAAATCAACTGAATAAATTTAAAATAAACTTCCATAATATGATTGTCAGTATTATCTTTATATAATTATGAGTCACCTTTAAATAATTTTAGCAGAAATCACACTGTTTAGCGTTTATACATAACTGTTAGTTTTGTTTTTCTGAGCAGCCCTTCTGAGACGCCATACAAATAAGTGTTCTAGTTTATGGTACAATTTGTATTATTTTTTATATTTGTAATAAAAATGTTTTGCCATCTACATATAATTTGCTCAATGGATGTCAAAGGCCATCTATTCTCTGAATGCTGCTATTTGAAAGCCAGTTGGAATTGACTACTAAAGAAAAGCAAGGTCTGAAAGAGCTGAGGCTCTTCATTTTTCTTCATATACATACATATGTATATGTATATGTATATATATATATATATATATATATATATATATATATATATATATATATATATATATATATATATATATATATATATATATATATATATATATGTATATATATACATATATATATATATATATATATATATATATATATATATATATATATATATATATATATATATATATATACATATATATATATATATATATATATATATATATATATATATATATATATATATATATATATATATATATATATATATATATATATATATATATTTACAATAGTAATAATAATAATAATAATAATAATAATAATAATTAGAGATTAAAGTGCCATAGTTCGACAACAATCAAAAATATGATGAAGTGATTCAGAAGCACTAAAAGTCAGACATTTGTTTAGGTCTAGTAAGCAGCTTTGAAAAGTTCGGTTTTTAGTCTTTTTTTAATGTTTCTAACAATATTGAATCAAGCGTTTTTTTTACTTAGATTGTTCCAAGTTCATGGTGTAGATGTATAGAAAGATTTTGTACCAAGCGATGTTCTCGCTCAGCGACGTGCAAGTTGGCAACTGTCTGACCATATTGTGTTGTGGAACTGGGAGGTTTGAATTTTAAAGATTTTGAAAAGATATGCGGCAGAGTTGGTTGGTATAGTTTTATAAATTATGATAGACATCTTGAAAATTATTCATTAACGTAGTGGTAACCAATGGAGCGATTGAAGCAAACTCTCTTATTGTGAACGGAAAGGAGAGTGACAAATAACACGAGCTAACTTATTTTGAATACATTAAAGTTTGTTTAGAATTTTTGAGATGTTTCAGATAGAAGACTGTTTCAGTAATCAAGTCGAGAGTTTACAATTCCGAAGGCAATTATTTTTGCAGCACTTTTGGTAAGAAATGAACGAATATAATGAAGTGCGCGAATATGGTAGTTGCAGGATTTTAAAATATTTTTTATATGCTGGTCCATAGAGAGTGTTGAATCTAGGGTAATGCCAAGAATTTTTACCAAATTTGATCCAGAAAGAGTTGCGCCTGAAAATAAAAATTTGGTTTCGTACTTAAATTAAAATGTTTGTTTACTAGGTCCAGATAAGACAGCTTTAGTTTTTTTTGATTAAGCAGTAGACTATTTTCAAAAAAACCATGTGATGGCTGCATTTGCACGTTGAGCTATATTGTTTATGTGGTGTTTCCCTGGTCTAACAGCAGTATACAGTTGAGTATCATCAGCATATTGATGGCGATAATATCCAAGTTTAGCTATATTGCAATTTACGGGAGACACAAACATGGAAAATAGAAATGGGCCAATAATACTACCTTGCGGTACTCCTATTAAAATATCTGAAATTGATGATTTGGTTGTTCCAATGGAAACAAAATTTTCGATTAAGAAGGTATGAAGACAGCCATTCCATTGCAGTTCCTGTGATATCAAATTCGTTTTTTGCATGCTCTGTTCGTAGTTTGTGAATCAAAAGCTGTTGATATGTCTTGAGAGAGGAGGATACATTGATACATTATCAATGTTTGATACATTATCAATTTTTGATAGGATAATATTGCAAATCTTGAGGAGTGCTGTTTCAGTTGAATGTTTGAGTCGGAAACCAGATTGTAAAAGGTTGAAGTGTACAGAGGAAGTTACATGCGGAAAAAGTCTAGATAAAGCAAGCTTTTTAAGAATTTGGGAAACAGTGAACAGTGTTCAGATTTGATATAAAAATATATATATATACATATATATATATATATATATATATATATATATATATATATATATATATATATATATATATATATATATATATATATATATATATATATATATATATATATATATATATATATATATATATATATATATATATATATATATATATATAATCCGAACACTGTTCACTGTTTCCCAAATTCTTAAAAAGCTTGCTTTATCTAGACTTTCTTCCTCTGTACACTTCAACCCTTTACAATCTGGTTTCCGACTCAATCATTCAACTGAAACAGCACTCCTCAAGATTTGCAATATTATCCTATCAAAAATTGATAATGTATCAAACATTGATAATCAACAACCTGATCAAGAATAAAATTATATGGTAAAATATAATTATATGGTAAAATAATGAATAATCTGTTTTTCAATTTTAGGAAATGTGCAGTCATTAGATATAAGAAACAAATTTAAATAAGAGTTGTTAGCGAACAGTTCTGCTTTCAAGTTCAATGCAAGTAACTCTTAACATTTCATCTCATATATGATAAAATCATACTCACATAAGAGAGATGAAAAATAGACTTGCTATTGAGATAAGAGTTTTAGTGAAATCATAGGATTGTCTAAAACACCTAAAGAAAGAACAATAAAATGCTGAGAATAAGCTAGGTTCATAGGCAAGGCACAAACCAAGGAGTGTAAGTAGTTTGATCAAATCACCTTGATTAGAATTGTCTGAAAAACAAGTAAAAATTTAACTATTAAGGTAAGAGCCTTATTTAACAAATATTTTGTCTTTCAATATTATTTGAATACATAATATTTAAAGTTTAAACTTAAATTTTATGCAAATTTTATGTAAATTTATATAAAAGTTAAATTTAAATCTGCAAATTTAAGTATTTACGTATTAATTAAATTAAAACATATAAACTCGATACTTTATATTTTATTCACATACTTTACATACTTAAGAATATTATGATTATAAATAAATACGTAAATAATATTTTAAAAAGTAAAAGTGTAACATGTAATTCTATATATATATATAAGTATTTATTTTTATTTATTACTTTTTTGATATTGTCATAGAAGTTATTATGACATTTAAACAGGTTTTCTGATGTACATCTGGTGTAATGTCTGATGTACACCAGGATGCAACCTGGTTTCCAATCTCTATGAAATTTTGAATGACCTGTTAAAATTTCATTCAAAGTTCGAAATGTCATATATGGTTTAGTACACCATAAATGACATTTTGAACTTTGAAATTTTAACAGGTTGTCTAATGTACATCATTTTTTTAAATGTCATTTTGAATGACAACTTTTTAAAATGTCATTCAAAATTCTATAGTAATACCAATAGCATCTCAAGATGATTACACTATCAATGCCTAATATTGTATTAAAAGAGCTAATGTGAAATGTGAATATGTCACAGTCTTAAAAAAGACTTTTTTTTTCATAACTATCTATGCTATTAAACAAGTGTCCTTTATATATATAAAAAAAACACAATTGTAGTGGTTAAAAAACTTACCCGATTGTAGTGTTCAAAAATAACATCAAAGTCTTTAAGGCTTAGTTTCTAAATTGAAAATACTAAAAGTTAAAAAATTAAATTAAAAAAAAATTACAAGTTTCAATTTAAAGTTTTACAAATATTTTTTTGTGTATCACACAACAATGTTTTACTTCTTGTAGCTGACATCATATGTTTATGGGATGTCTGCTACGTCGTTGGATGTACCCAAAATAATTAAATAAAAGTATTTTAACTTAAATATATTGTTGGAAAAAAGATTTTACTTTGTATTAACAGTGTATTACTAAATATATTACTAAATATATTATTAAGCAACAATGTGCTACTAAACAACTACAAAACAATGTATTATTAAACACTATAACGTATTACTAAAATCAAACAATAGCAAAAACTAAACGAATTACGGACGGTTAATTATTTGAAACGTTTGGAAAGAAATTAAAAACCGTAAAACATAATAGTATTTTTGTTTCATAATTTTGCAATTATTTATTTTGATATTTTAATGGAGGTTAAACTAACTTTTGAGTTGTATAACTTAATTAGAAATTGACATACCTAGCATTGCCACTAGCATAGCATTGCCACTTACGTTAATCTACAAGTTGTCTTACAGCACAAGTAACCTGCCTCTACAGTAACGTGCAGCAAATGTGACACCAATTTTCAAAAAAACAATTTTTTCCAAACATGCAACTTATGTTAAAATTGAACGCATATGTAAAAAAAGGAAAATTTTTAAGCTGGAATGATGCGTTTTTGAATAATCGAATACAATGATTGGTTCAATGTGATGCATTTTTAACATGGAGAAACGCATTAAGTAATATTCCACAAGGATCCATTCCAGGGCCATTCTTTTTTGTAGCATACAATTATGACATACCAGAGAAAGCACTGTAAAAATATATGCAGATGACACCAAAATCTAATCAGCAGTAAACTCAATTGAGGGCGCTAAATTAATTCAAAAAAACTTAAATAATATAGAAAAGTGGTCAGAAAAATGGTTAATCAAACTGAACGAGAGTAAACGTGTGTTTATGCATCACGGTAAAAGGAGCATAAAATTCAATTACACAGTTAATGGATCAGAAATTAACAATTCGACAAGTGTAAAATTTGATACATCACTGAAATGGAAGAAACACATTGAAAGATGTTCATCAAAAGTAAATAGAGTAATGGTGGTGATAAAAAACACCTTTGTCCATTTAAATCATCATCTTGTCAAGCAATTATACACAACTTTCATTAAACCTCTGATTGAATTTGCAGCACCAGTTTGATCACCAAACTACAAAGACATTGAAATATTATAAAGTACACCACAGAATGAAGAGGATGGCAAGCGTAAGAAGTCTCCAGTACCAACAGCGTTTACAGAAACTAAATTTAATAACATTGTCAGAAAGAATACAAAGAGGAGATCTTATTCATGTTTTTAAAAATTTTCAATAAAATTAAAAAAATATAACTTTTTCTCAAAATCACGCAGAGGTCACAATAAGAAATACAGTAGAGAACAAACCAAGTTTATACCCAGACACTAATTTATTATAAACAGAACTGAAAAATTTATGGAACGCATAGCGATTGGAAATCGGCAATTCAACAAACATAATTAATTTCAAGAACAAAATAGACGTATATTTAGCATTAAAAATTAACATAAAAACTTTTTTTGTTTAAATTTTTTGGATTGAATTGTTGTATATTATCAAAAGCTGTCATAGGAAGTTTTTAACTAACTCACTGTTAATGCAGCAACAGTTTTAACTACAATTACTGTTACTACTACCTTATTTTTTTTCATATAGAGCTTTGTTTTTTGAATATTTTCTTTTATTAATTTGAAACAAATCATAGTAACTTTTTTAGTTTCGGACTTCCCTTTTATATGCACCTTGAGTAAAATTTTCATCAAGTTTTATTGTTTAACTATCATCAGGATGCAAAGTTTGTTAGTAAAAATAAATATACACCAAAATATATCAATGAGCATCCCCTGTTTTATCACACTAGAGTGCGTATCTTTATCACACTAGACTGCGCATCTTTATCACACTAGACTGCGTATCTTTTCAATAACTTGCATTTTGAATTATAAATTAGATGAGAGAAAGTTTCAAATATGAAAAAAAACTTCAGACTCCCCTCTACACATACACCCTGCTTAGTTTGCGTTTTATTAAATTAATGTTTTATATTAGACATAAAATATAGCCCTTGATAAGCTCAAAATGTCGTCTTATTCGCAATTTTACATAGCACTTCAAAGAAAAAAGTTATTTCTTAGAAGAAAAATATTTGAGAAAAACATCATTTTCTATAAAGTTAGGTAAAAAAAATTTATATTAATGGTGTAGAACTTTCGGTATCACAATGTTTTTTGGATAAGAAAGAAAGACAGAGAGAAGAAGCTGTTTATAATTGGATCGATAAAAACTAGTCTTTGTTCTATGGTTTTCTTCGATAATTAAGCATTTGTGGTAAAATAGTATGTCTATTTCCAGATTTGGACTTATTAAGTATAAATTATTATCTAGCCAATTTTTTTGTCCCTGATGAGAATTATAAGAATTATTATTCCCTTGTTATCATGTTTTATTTGATTTTTATTTTTAATATCATGTTTTTGAATTTTGTCTATAGAAATTTTGTATTTAAAAAATTATAGTCTATAAAAATTATAAAAATTATAACATATATGTATTATAAATTGCTTAAGCTTAGCATTTTCGAAAAATAATTTTTTTTAATTTGCGAAAATCATATTTTCAGCTTAAGTGACCATGTTAGCGTTAATACAAGTCATTTAAAGAATTATCAAAACATTTTTTGATAAAATACACTCAAACCGATCGAAATAAAAAAAATGGTGAGGGGCCATAATTTTTTTTGGACTTACCCAAAAGGTTTCCTGTACACGCCCTTGTACTCTGCAATTTATTTCTTAAAAGAATAATTATGTTTTTGTTAATTAACTTTATTAAAAGTTTTAAAAAAACTTTTATTTCAATTTATTGAAATTGTGGCATGATATACATACAACATATATACAAATAGTTGTAACCTTATAGTTATGTTATAAAACAGTATCTAAATATTTTGCTGTATAACACATTCAATTGTTCAGAAAATACAATTTTTGACTCCTAACTATTTTATCTCACTTATTTTAAACTTAGAAATTTAAAAAAGCCTTATTATTTGTGGAAAGTCTAAAATTCAATTACCTTAAATACACAACTAGTAAAAAAAAAAATATGACATCTTTTTTAAATTGTCATCTTTTTTAATGTGTCATCTTTTTTTCTTCTTGAGGAAACATTTAAGTAATCTTTCAGAAGGTAAACAGCAAACATTAGGCTACCGTAAACAATGAGTTCAGTAGGCTATCGTAAACAATGAGTTCAGTAGGCTACCGTAAACAAGGAGTCCAGTAGGCTACCGTAAACAATAAGTTTAGATACTGAAAAGTCTCAACATATATTAAGACTTTTTTTTTTCAAGTTTGTAATGACTTTCTGTAAAATCAATATATCATGCTAGTTGACTAAATTAAAATGACTTCCGTTCTGTCGACAGAACGGAAATAGATTGGAGATGGGAAATTGATCAGGTAGCAGGAAAAAATCCCTCCGGTAAATATCCCCCGAAAAAGTCCCCCCTGAAAAAAATCCTGGATTCTTTAATTACAGCGCTTAAAATAAACAATATATCAATGTATTAGTTGTTTATAATATAAATATTTTATACATACATATTATAATACAAACAAAACCTTAATGCTTCATTTTTCATAAATCGACTGACAAATAGGTAGAACATACAAGAAGTGCCGCTACATTGACTTAGGGATTTGATTTGGGCAGGCAATCTATCAATTTCAAAGCAATATTTTATTTTTTGCAAGGGATTTTTTGCGGGGAGATTTTTTCTCAGGGGGATTTTTTCCGGAGGGATTTTTTCGGGGGGATTTTTTTCGGGGGGGGGATTTTTTCAGGGGAGATTTTTTCCTAGAGTCTTTGATTAATGGTAGAAATAATTAAACCAATCAACTTTTAAAAGATTTATTTTATTTAAGCTAAATTCAAAACTTTAAGTATTATTTAACTTTAAACACATCTCAATGTTTAACCACAGATGATATTATATCAAACAGTTAAGCTAAAGAAAGTAAACATTTATTTATTTATATATATAAATGAATATATCGGTTTTCATTTTAGCTTTTAATAATATTTTTTAACAAGTGTGTCGTTTAAAGATAAAGAAATATTTTTACTTTTAGCTGTTGCTGTTGATTATTTTAAACGCAAATGCATAAGAATAGTGCTAACTTTTTGTCCGATATCAGATTTTTTGAAGTAGTTTTTTATTATTATTATTATTATTATTATTATTATTATTATTATTATTATTGCTATTATTATTATTAATACTATTATTATTATTATTACTATTATTATTATTATTATACTACAAATAAGCCTCAAATTTTTTGTTCTTAAAAAATCTCTTCTTCTTTTGCTGTTATCTGTTCTGTTCAATGTTTTAATATTTATCTGTTCTGTTCAATGTTTTAATATTTATATTTCGCGAGGTAAGAATTATTTTGTTCCATCTCCATATTTTTCCGAACCGAGAAAATCAAGTTCAAAGTTTTGATTGGACCTGCTGACCAAATTACATAAAAAACTCAAACAAAACCGATTTGTATTAATATCCTAAACAGGCTACCACAGTTTTAAAGAAACTGTATTAAAATATTTAAAGTGCAGGTATCTGAATTACTGCACCCTGATTTGGAGATAAAACAATCTAACCCACACTTATTTTATAAAATACACTGTTATTTTGTTCTATCTCCATTTTCTGTTAAAAAATGTAATACAAACTAGTATTTTTATATATACTGTGACAAAATGAATGTATATTTTGAAAATTAAAGTGCTCTAAATTAAATATCTGTTTTATTAGAAAAAAAAAATCTTACTTTACACTAGTGAACAAATGATATAAACACGCTATTTTGTCTAAAATTCAATTCAACAGAGAAGATAAGTAATGTATTATCTAAAGTATGTACCAAGATCTTCACAAAGAAATAAAACTTTAGTTGTAAATTCTTAAAGCATAACATCTAAAATACATTGCACAATAAAAAGATATCTTAAAGAATAATCAATTAACCAGCACCGCTGGTAAGGCCATTAAAAATATACCATTTCAGTAAGAAATCCATTTAATGTAAATATAAAACATATATGTTTTGTCAATAAAATACATTATTTTAAATACTCTTATAAATATGAAATATTTAGAGCAGGCATATACTTGAACAGATTTCGAAGGACATTGGGCCAAATTTCAAATGATAAAGCCAATGATTGGCTTTATCATTTAAAATTTGAACACCCTTATTCAAGGCAGAAAACATTCGTACCTCTGCCATGACTAAGATCGTAAATTGTTAACTCTTGCTTTTGTAGAAACATTATAACATGATTTTCTGTAGTATACATGATCTGAATGCTAGATGTTTTATCTAAATATAGGGAACATGCTTAAAATTAAAAAGCCTGTAATAGCTAAAAAATGTTTAAAATTTAATTTCTTCATTTGGTAGGCAGAAATATTTTTTTTTGAAGAGCAAGAATTGCTCTGATTAAATCAAGGGGACTAAATATTTTAACAGGAGAAAGTGCTCTATTAATTTGACTTTGGATATTATCAACCTCTTGTATACTAGAATTTCTTTTGTTAAATTACTCTGATTTTTGGGTAACATATCGCAAACCAAAAATCAACAAATACACGCGTTTATTTTTCATCACTGATTATTTGCGTGTATTTAAATTTACAATAATTTAACAGTCTTTCTTTTTGGTTACAGATTTGCATGAAATATTTTCTGCCTTTCTATTTTTATACGGATGATCAGATTGTCTTAGCTGCTTTCTAACATTCTGCATCCAAGTTTTAGGTGGTGATTTTCTTTTCCTAGTTTTTTCTTAACGTAGGAGCAGACGACGAGCTGGTACTATTTTAGGATTATCATCATAATAACTAAGAACAGTCCGATCAGTTTTTAAATAAAATCTATATATATATATATATATATATATATATATATATATATATATATATATATATATATATATATATATATATATATATATATATATATATATATATATATATATATATATATATATATATATATTGTTTTTCTGTCGTAAAAACATTCGCTACCATTTTGGTATAAATAACTTTTGGTAGAATAAGGCGGAGATAGCACATTATAATTTTTTTTTTTTTTTTTCACTGATTTACTTGTAAAAAATAAATATTTTATCTATAAAATGAAAAAAAATTGATCTAACTCAATTTTTTTGATTTGTGGAGATGCAAAACAAAATAATTCTAACCTCGCAAATTGTGCCTAATGTCTATCTCTATATTTAAAATCCTAGACTTGAAAGTATATTGCTAATTCTAATATTTGCCAAATAATCATTTGTATTTTATATTAAAATTTATGGCCTAATAAAAACATAGACTTCTTTATAAGACCATAAAGATAAAAATTAGTTAACGATTGCATTATATTTAGTTTTCTAATCTTTAACCTTTTTATTTAATCAGGTTTTACTTTTAATGGTAAAACTTGATTAAATAAAAAACCTGAACTCAAAAAATCAAACCACAAGCACTGTTGTTTCAAAAAATTTTAAATTGATAATTAAAGCTAGAAAAACTTTTGAATCTGATTTTTAAAAGCGTCAAAAAATTAACCCCCGCATTTCACGAGCTAAGCGTAATAAGATTGCTTCTCGGCCTAATCGCTAAGATCAAGTGTAGTATCTGTTCTTATTTCGGCTCCGGACCATCTCACAATTGGTTACGGAGTTGTTAGAAAGCAGAAACAGCACAAGATTGAAACCGTCACAGCCGATAGAGGTTCTTGGCGTAGTCGCTTTTTCAGTGTCTCCTTCTACGTCTGGAAATCTTAAGGCGATCCGTCCACTCCGGACGTTAAATGGGGATAAACCCTTTAGTGGGCGCTGCTCAGTTTCGGCTGAGTGGCAACTAAACCCTTAAATAGGCCAAACCTAAAACCCTTAAATGGGCCAAAATATGGAGCCTCGGCTCCTATATAACACCGGCCTTCTAGTAAGACCCTGTGTAAGTCTGGTTTCAGCAGCAGGTGTCCCTAGTTGGTTGGTAAAAAAAAAAAGAAGTATCTGTTCTTACTTCGGATCCGGACCATCTCTCAATTGGTTACGGTGTTATTAGAAAGCAGAAACAGCACATGATCAAAACCGTGATAGATAGTTCAACCGTGATAGAGGTTCTTGGCGTAGTCGCTTTTTCAGTGTCTTCTTCTACATCCAGAAATCTCAAGGCAATCCGTCCACTCCGGACGTTAAATGGAGATAAATCATTAAGTTGGCGCTGCTCCACCTCGGCTGAGCGGCAACTAATAAACCTATAAATGGGCCATAATCCCTTAAATGGAGCATACGGGAGTTTCGGCTCCCTAATAACGCCACTTTCTAGGGTCCTATGTAAGTCTGGTTTCACCTCTAGGTGTTCCTATATGGTCGGTTAAAAAAAAAAAAATAAGACGTAATAAGAAAATTTTACTTCTCTATAATTTATTGTAAACTTTTGCAGTTTATTTTAAGAAATTTAAACAAAATTGTTTTATGAACTACATTTAAGCAATTAATTAAAAATCTGAGTTAAATGTTTAAAAAAAGCAAGTAAAACCAATTTTATAGAATGGATAAAAATGAAAGTTCGTGTACATTAACAAAAAAATCAAAACAAATCGAAAAATAAAAAACCAACCTTAAAACCTTTTAAAAAGTTTTTTTGAATGCTGATTAATCTAAAAATCAATAAATTATTTTTGACATAACATCATCTCTTACACTTTTTACTAATAAAAGTGTTTGTATGGAAATAATATTGTTTAAGATAAATTAACTGAAACATAATATACTTAGAGAGTTCACATATGTTTATTTTTTCATCTCTGTTGAGATCGTAAGTTTCTATCTAAAAAAAAGTATGAACCTATATATATATATATATATATATATATATATATATATATATATATATATATATATATATATATATATATATATATATATATATATATATATATATATATATATATATATATATATATATATATATATATATATATATATATATATATATATATATATATATATATAATGTTGTTTAAAATGACCGCAGCAAGTAGAAGACAAAAGTTTTATCATTTAATCCTGTTGTATAGTGTTTTTTACAAATTAATTTTTTGGAGTTTTATTTAGTGAAGAGAATTCATTTTAATGAAAAATAAAAATTACTGTAAAAAACACTAATACTTTTTAGGAGGAGAAAGTTTTCTTAGGTTTTGTGTCTGCATTTTTTTATGCTATCTTTCAACTCGATTACTTCCAACTTTTACTAAACACTTTTTTGTTAATAAAAATGTTTCTGTATCTTGGATGCTCTTAGTGGACAGAGCGTGTCAAACAACCCCAATGAATATTTAGTAGAGGAACAGCAAAGGCCAAGAATAAAACTTGTAGAATTACAAGATTTTTATAAATTAGAACTTGAACTTCCTAGTTAAATGCTCTTCCACGGTGCCCTGTGACATGACCTTTAGATCTTCTTGCCCTGTGACATGATCTTAGATCTTCTCGCCCTGTGACAAGACCGTTAGGCCTTCTCGCCCTGTGACATGACCGTTAGATCTTCTCGAGACATTTATAACAAAATATTTATATTAAAAAAAAACATCTTTGTTATAATCACACGTATAAAGAACTAAAGGAATTGGGGAATTGGTTGTGCTGCCAGAAAAATGAGAAAGCAATGGGCACCACAAAATTCCGTTTGATTGTAATTAGCTATTGCTATTAAAGTTATGTTAACGCAAACAATAAAATTGATTACTAATGTATTATTGTATTCAAAATTTGTAGAAATTCCTATACAACTTATTTAAAAAATTATTATAAGTCAAAAATTTCACTTTAAGCTGTCAGTAAATAATAGTTCGCAAGGCAGAATAGTAGCCCAATTTCTAGGTTAAAAAAATCCTCAAAAAATTTTTTTTCGTCATAAAAAACAAATTTTCTCAATATTGTTGCAAATTTAAATAAAAAATTGATTTTATAAAAATATATGATTTTTCTAGAGTGAGGAAAGTTGCCTCGTGATTATTTTTCTTATAGAGCAAACTTGCCTCGAGAAAATTTTGCCAACTTATCACAAAAGCCTTTTTTAATAATCAGCTTTTTTTTAATATAAAAATTCTAAAAAATCACAGCTATTAAAAACAACTGACTAAAAATCAATTGTGACTAGAATCATTACAATAATTTTTTTTTAATCATGCAACATACTGTTTTTTTTGTAAAGTAAAAAAGAAATGATGATGATTTTGTTCAAAAACACAAAAATTCCAATACCTTCTATGCGCTTTGGTGAATCCTTAAAATACTAAAGTAAAAAATAAAATGGTCAAATTTGATGGTTCCATGTAACTTCTGACACTTTCTAAGAAAGTTGTCCTCGATGGACAGCACTATTCTTTATATCCTGTAACTTCAGGAGTTCCTCAAGGTTCTATCCTCGGCCCTATACTATTTTCTTTATCTTTATAAGTCTCAAATCCGTCCTTGCATGAAATACCTTTGCCATATCTATGGAGAATCTTTCAATGATGCATTTTCTTTTTTAGACAAGGTGCAAAAGCGCATAGTAAGCATAGCGTCTCTTGTGCCATCTAATAAAGCTCATTCTTGTTTTGCTCGTGATTCAATTAAGTCTCATTCTTTTATTGTAACTGTTCCTATGTGCTTCACAACTTCTTATTCGTCTAGTTTTTTTCTTCAAACATTAGTTTCTCTTTTCTATAAATACTATATTGGGCACTGCTCTAAAGAGCTAGCTTCTCTTGTGCCATCTAATAAAGTTCATTCTTGTGTTACTCGTGATTCAATTAAGTCTCATCCTTTTATTGTAACTGTTCTGTAAAACTGTAAAAAATTGGATACAATAGCCAATAATTGATACTTGGCTATTCAAATATTGATATTTTAAGTTTTATATTTCTATCACATGATGAAATAACAATACTTTCTGAGATTATTAACTCTTATTCCCATAAAAGCAACTGTTAAAGCACTTTGACGCCGGAATTCTAAACTGTTTATAGCCGACATTGCTTTAAATTTAAATTCTTACCAAGCTAAACAATACTGGTAGTAACGCAAGCAAACTAGTACAGCTTTAATGGTGTGTATGAACAACAAACTGGTATGAGCGGGCTCATATTAAATAGTACTGATAAATAAACATGACTTTTTTGGATTCAGGGCTGTCCCGAAGAGATTTTTAAGGGTGGGGGGTGACGTGCTTGTTTTTTGCCATACATACATAATACATACATACATACATACATACATACATACATACATACATACATACATACATACATACATACATACATACATACATACATACATACATACATACATACATACATACATACATAGATACATACATACATACATACATACATACATACATACATACATACATACATACATACATACATACATACATACATACATGTCTAGTATGAAAATAATAATTCCAGAAATAAATCGAACCATGTGTTTTGCATATTCTTCAACTTCTTTTGTTGTGGTTTTGTTTCCTCCAGAAGTAATGAGATCCTCAAGAAATTTCTAAAGAAGTTTTATAAAACATAAAATAAATGAAAATAATATAAGTATTAAGATTATTATTCAATTATAAAGTAATTCTAGTTGAAATTAAACTGACTTGGTATATCAATCTGCAACATTTTTGATCAATGACACATACATACATACATACATACATACATACATACATACATACATACATACATACATACATACATACATACATACATACATACATACATACATACATACATACATACATACATACATACATACATACATACATACATACATACATACATCAACGTATGTCATAGTTTAGTTGATTGGGTATGGGGATATATGGGGATATATTGGGATTGTGTATCGTAGGCTAAAATAATCTCATGCAATTTTTTTTCTATGAAATATTTTTTTGGACTTTTACCTTCAATTAGGGATGTACCAGATTGGAAATTTTGAATATAAATCTCGTTCCGGCCGGAACGAGATTTATATTTATGTAGTTTTTTTACCATCAAGATTGAAACCCTACACCTCAGCATCATGGATACATAACTTAATGTATATATGTATATATACATATATATATATATATATATATATATATATATATATATACATATATATATATATATATATATATATATATATATATATATATATATATATATATATATATATATATATATATATATATATGAAATATTTACTGTATTAGGCATCCTATACTTTTTAACTATTTAAAAGTTAAGAATCATGTGAAATGAGACTATTGTCAGAGATTAATGAAAAAAGAGCTTATTTGTTGCCCAAAACTGGATAGCAACTTTTTTTGCACCACAATGTTTTTAAAATTTTTGAAATCTTTACACAAGTGATTACTGCAAATAAAATTAGGCAAAGCTACAGATATTCGGTCTAAAATAATTATATTTTATCGCTTGTAGGGCTTTCGTGTGGAGACTTGCTCAAAATGGTAACTTTTTAATGTAAACATAACGAATATTTATTAGCTTTTGCACATACATCGACTATTTTATAGCCTGCTGCTACAAAAGAATGTTACTACATCCATTATCTTAAAGCTTACTGCTAAAAGGGAGTGTTGTCACATCGACTATCTTATAACCTGTTTCTACTAGAAAGTGCTGCTACATTGACTGAGGATTTGACATAGGGCAGCAATCTTTTTTCTTTTATTTTTTTAATTAAAATTTCTTATGTTTAACAACTCTCCACTAACTAGAGCGTAACAAGCGGAAAAATAAAATTATTATAGAGCGCTAAACTGTAGCTTTATCTAAAATTACATTGAATTTGTTAAGAATTTTGTATTTTTTACCTAGGTTAGTCCATAGTTTTTCATTGCCCTGTAAGACAATGGTTTTTTCATTTAATTTACACAATCTGTGCCATATGTCTTGAATAAACAAAGAAAAAAATAAATTCCAGCGTTCCGGCCTGAAATATTATTATTCCGGCCGGAATAATAATATTTCAGGCCGGAACCGAAATGACCTAAATTTCCGGAATTCCGGCCGGAATTTGTAAAAAATTTGTATTTATTTTTGGTTTTTTCTAAAATCTAAATTATGTTCAAAGTTCTTCAACAGCGACAAGACCTGTATGATCTTCTTTGGGTATCCGCATTTTTTATATTTGTTCTTTATTTTTAAACGGTTTCTTTGCATGTAATTTTTATTGATATATTTGTAAATATTGTATTAATATTGTAATAAAGACCACTACTATTGAAGTTACTTTTCAGAAGTTCTAACTTACTTAATACAAGATTAAGCAAAGCTGGAAATACAAACTTATCAAGACTTTCATGTCTGCCCAGTAAACATTGTTTAGTGGATTTGCAGTTGACCAATATATAGGCATTTTTAACGTTTTTTTTTTTGAGTTTTGCTCATCGGTCACTAAATAACCAATGACCAAAAATTTGCAGCCGCTTTAAATGGCATGTTTCCATTTAATGTTTTCTCATATAGCTCAAAAAAACTTGTCAATGTTTTCAAAGATGAATTAGCTTTTGTTAAAAGTTTCTTTCTCCAAAAACCACGTTTCTTCTTGTTTTAAAATATATACACCAGTCTTTTCCTGGCTTGTCATCTTTGAATGGAGTATTTTGACCAGTTACATTGGGTTATAGCATTATTTTAATATCTTCTCTATTTTGTGGAAAATCAGCCAAGTATTTTAGGTCTTCCACTAAAAGTTTTTCTTCTGTATTACTTAAAACATGACTGCTTCCTATTCTTTTGTTAATCCTTTGGATTTGATTGTGGCTTCTTCTGTAAAACATCCCCTATAAAATTTCAAAAAGCCTTAATATATTGTGTACTGAGTTCCCTGGTTTAACAAGTTGTATCTTATTCATTAATTTACTGTAATTGTCAACCATTTGTCAGTCAACCTTGCTTTCCCTGGTATTTTTTTTTCTGCCATTTAACTTTTTAACATTTAAATTAGTTCTAATTTGACGCATTTGGGTGCTTAAACGTTTTTGGACATGACCAAAGAACTCTATCTTCACTCGGAAAAGATCATCTCCAGAAGGCTTTGCCTTCACAACATTCTTATATGATTCAGTATCCCCATCTCCTCCTATATAATGAGAATAACGCACATTGTACTTTGTCATTATTTCCGTAAAAAATGACAAAGCATCTGCTCATTTCATGAGACCTAACTATCGGAAATGGTTGAGGTTATTTGCTGCATCTTTTCCACAAAGCACATCTATGACGAAACTTTGAAAAAACCTGAAAATTAACATCATTTCGGTTAGTTTTAGCGACAGTAGTGCATACACCATTTAGTGTGCAGTAGTGCATACACCATTTAAATGACCACTCTTCTGCCATGAACATTAATCCTAATTTGTACATTTATAATATCATTTTTAGCTGCGTTTGGAGAAAATTTTTCTAACCTCTGTCACAGTATCCTTTGTGCTATCACAAGAAGCATCTTCATAAAATGGTAGGAGGTTAGAGTTTATTTCATTATACGACTTGAGAATCATTGGTGGGGGCATATTTGAAATTGAAACAAACGTTTTCATTGCCTCATGATCTTGCCAAATTTATTTAAAACTCATAACAGTTCTGAGGTTAGTGTCTTGAGATTTGAATCCTCTGGAATCTCTATTAGGCTAAATGCTTGTGATCAATTAAAGAAATCACAAGTTGCACATTTGATACAAAATTGTATTGAAAATCCTTTTGTTTTTTTATCAAGATATTCAAGTTCAATATCTTTTGATTTGCAACAACCACACAATCCAATGTTATAAACTAAATCATTTAACATTGGGAAATGAAAGAAGAAAAAAAAGTTGTCATGCTTAGATAAAGGTTAATCGGTTTTATTTGAAGAAAAGTTTAATTTTGATGAACTGGCATATGGCAATATATCTATTCCATCATTGTTTGTTTCTTCTGCAGGCTGTTTCAAAACAACATCAATTGGATTCTTAAAATATCTGTTACCTTGAAACACTCGTTTAATTTTTCGTTTCTTTAAACATGTATACTTTGCTATTATAAATTTTTTTTTTAAATCAATTTACATTTGACTCCCTTTTCTCCTTTTAACTAACAACATTATTAGATTTACAACTTTAGTTTTTAAGTATTATAGTAATTATACAGACCCAAAAATAAAAATAACTATTTAAAATTTAGTTCTTAGATAAATATATCAATAACAAATTCGGTTGCTATGAACGTAATTAAGTAAATTTCTTAACTCATAATCACTAAAATCAATTTTTTAACTATTTTTTGTTTTTAAAACCATATCATGTTATATATGGTTAAAAAGCCAGTTAAATTTTATACACAGTTGGCAATTATTTTTTGTTAAAAACTTAGATTTTTGTTTGAAAAACTTTTTTTTTCTGAAAATCGCTAAGATTTTAACATATAATCATTTTAATTGAAATCGCATACGACCACTGTTTTTGCTAGGGGTGTACCGGATTCAAAATTTTGAATTTCCGTCGGAACAGGATTTGCCGGAATTTTTTAAAAATTCCGACCGGAATTCCGGCCGGTACAAGATTTAAACTCATGTAGTTTTTTACCTTTAAGTAAAAGCCTGCACCTCAGCATTGTGGCTACATAATATATATTATATATATTTTTGCACCACAATATTTCTAAACTTTTGCATAAGTGATTGCTGCAAATAAAATTAGGTAAAGCTACAGATATGTAGTTTAAAATAATTTTATTTGTTAAGAATTTTGTATTTTTTACTTAGGTTTACCCATAGTTCTTCATTGCCTTGTTGAACAATGATTTTTCGATTTAATTTACACAGTCTGTGTCACACATCTTAAATAAAGTATTATTGTTTCATGACTGAAAATATGGAAATTTAAATGTTTTTAAAATGTTATTTTTAATGTTATATTGCATAAAAATTGAAAAACATAACTTAATATTATTTTCATTAGTTTTGCATTACAAAAACAATCACACAACTTATCTTTATTTTTTTGTGCCTTAACAAAAAGTTTCGTAAATTAAAATAATATCAAGCAACAATATACACAAAACGGTAATTTGAAAAAAAAAGTTGTGCGAATAATGCAGCAATTGAATTAGAAATACAGATGGATATTTTAATAATGTGTATTCTCACAGCATATTTTGCCTGCTACCATGTAAATAATGTTCTAAAAAAAGTACTAGGAGGATTTTTCCAATACCTAAACTGATGGTCTTTGTCTCATTGCATCTAAACTGATGGTCTTTTGTCTCATTGCATCTAAACTAATGGTCTTTGTCAAGATTGCGTGTACATAATGATAGCTATCATTACGTGCTTTCATCAGCGTGTACAATCATTAAGGTGATTTCCACTCATCCGTTTTTCTACGGGAAAGGGAAAGGGAACGGAAAAGTAATCACGTGAGCATGCGCAGTTTCCTTACGGACAAATAAAAACTTTTATTACGCATGCTTACGTGGTTATTTTTCCGTTCCCTTTCCCTTTCCCGTAGAAAAACGGATGAGTGGAAACTCACCTTAATAATAATTAGGTTTTAACAAAAATTTGATTCAAAATAATTTTCTCTGCAAACGTTATCTTATTATTATTATTTTTTTTTAATCAAAGATCGCAACCTGAACATTTTTATATAAGTTGTTACTAATTAAAAAATTGAAAATAAAAATAATATAATTAGTTTGATAATATAATTAGAATTTTTTCTCCTTATCCAAAATTAAAAAAGAACTTAATTCCTGAAAAATGGATCATTTTTTAATGGTTATCTATAAATTACGTCATGCAACTTTTAATGGTTTAGACGAATTCACCTCTTTTTCCTAGTAACATACAACAACCGTCAATGATAAGGAAAGAAGCGTGAACTTTCTAGCTAAATGCTCTTCCACCATGCTCTATGGTAAGACCTTATGGACTTCTGGGAGCACCTTAATAATAGGCACAAGCAGTTTTCAACTTTTTTATATGGAATGCCTTTATTAGACCATAATACTGTAATATGGAAAAATTTGAAAGTTGCAAGTTTTTTCAAACCTTTTTTTACAAATAATTTATTACGAAACATAAGCTAGAGTGAATTATAATTAATGAAGTTTTAAAATGACTGTTGGTGTAATACATTTTCCCGCGTGTTTTCTTATATAACGAAACAAAAATAATATTTAATTTTTTCATAATTTTTTAGACATGTTTAGATCCTGCAAAAATGGGTAGTTTTACATAAATGTTTTATAAATAGATGATCTTATGTATAAATATAACATTTATTAAAAACATAACTTTTAATGTTGCAAACAATTGGGTTTAGATAGATTGTTTAAAAATTCCAATATACTTTGGGAGTTTTCATAGATTAAGCAAAAGCTAAATTTTAACCAAATTTTAAGGCGTTTATATTGATAAAAATCTCTCGTGAAAAAACCACATAAAAGTTTTGGGTAATAAAATAACTTAAAGTATTGAAATATTATATAAAACAAGAAACATCCTAAATAACCACAATTTAACTCAACTATATCATTCATATATCCATTGCCACCTAAACTATTCAAATGTTGCGTACAAATAAAAGTAAA